AAAACAACAGAAATTTATTTTCTCATTTTTAGAGCCAGAAATCTGAAATCAAGGTATTAGTGGAGCTTGTTCCCTCTGGGGGCTCTGAGGGAGAATCTGTTCAGTGCGTCTCTTCCAGCTTCGGGTGGTTCCTGGCGCTCCTCGGTGTTCCTGGGTTGCAGCTACGGCACTCCAATGTGGGCTCCCATCTTCATGCAGTGTTTCCCCTGGGTGCCTCTCTCTGCCCAAGCACCCCTGTTATAAGGACGCCAGTCATTAAGAGAGGGCTCCCCCTTATCTTGTATCAAAGTGAAGTGAAAGTGAAAGTCGCTCAGTCATGTCCGACTCTTTGCGACCCCATGGACTATACAGCCCATGGAATTTTCCAGGCCAGAAAACTGGAGTGGGTAGCCTTTTCCTTCTCCAGGGGATCTTCCCAACCCAGGGATCAAACCCAGGTCGCCTCCATTGCAGGCGGATTCTTTACCAGCTGAGCCACAAGGGAAGCCCAAGAATACTGGAGTGGGTAGCCTTTCCCTCCTCCAGAGGATCTTCCCAACCCAGGAATTGAACCAGGGTTTCTTGCATTGCAAGAGGATTCTTTACCAACTGAGCTATCAGGGAAGCCCAATCTCCTATGACCTCATGTTAATTTGATTACATCTCCAAAGACTTTATTTACAAACAAGGAAGGTCATATTCACAGGTACAGGGGTTGGGGGAGGACATAATTCAACCTACTACAGGAGCACATAATATTACGTTACATACTTAAGGTTGTTCATCCACCGAAACATAAGCCGTGAAGGCAGAGACTTGGTTTTGTTCAGTGCTCTCTGAATGCCTGGAATGCTCAGTTAACTGAATGAAATTGGCCCACATGAAGTAGAGGATGATTTTGATAATGAGAAAATGGGGAAAGCTGATTAAAAAAAAATAAAAAACTCTTCATTCAAGAAGCTTAGGAGGATGAAAAAGGACCACAGAAATGGCTTAATCAACTTAAGGGATTTCAAGGGATTCAAACAGTGAAGCTTAGGCCACAACTTGCGAGTCTGTTTTGCCAAGAGACTGTTACCAGAGTCCAGCCATTGCCTCCTAGTTCTGCAGGAGAAGAGAATGAATTCAGCAGCTTCTCCAGATATAGGAGAACTGACTCATGATAACCAAACTAGAAAGAAATGGATTTCTAGGCCAGAATGCCATGTAATTATTAAGGGTGTCTCAAGAGTTAGGATTGATTTTTCTGCCAAGGGCAGTACATTCACTTATGATAATCAAGTTTATACACCCAAAGGTTTCTTAATAAATATGAAACTTTAGAGTCAGCAGAATTTGATAGTTCTCAGGAGATACTCCATCAAGTAATGACAGCTGATATACTCTCTTTTTAGGTGGGTTTTCCTCAGAGTGAAGGTGCGAGTTCTTCTTCAGTTACTCAGTCACGTCCAGCTCTTTGCAATACTGCATGGACTGCATGCAGCTTGGACTGCAGCTTGCCAGGCTTCACTGTCCTTCACCATCTCCTGGAGTTGGCTCAAACTCTAGTCCACTCTTGCCATCCAACTGTATCATCCTCTGTGGACCCCTTCTCCTCCTGCCTTCGATCTTTCCCAGCATAAGATCTTTTCCAATGAGTTGGCGTTTCGCATACGGTGGCCAAAGTATTGGAGTTTCAGATTCAGCATCAGTCTTTCCGGTGCTCAGCAATTTTCATACTTGGGAGACCTGCTTTCTACAGGTTCAGCATATGTTTTCAGCAGTTGAAACAAGGCCATTTGTATATTTTCCGTCTCTTAGTGTGGACAACTGGAATGAGCTTGGTTATTAAAATAAGTATCTTTTCTATATAAATTGTATTTCACAGTAACTAGTAGATGAGGGGAATTGATTACTGGTGGGATTCTAGTTAAGAAAGAAATGATAAAATTTATCACCACATTATAATCTTTGGTGAACTTGTGTATCTAGGATATGATCATCAGTACTTGCATTTTTAAAAATCATTAAGTGAAAGCTGATTTCACATTACAGTTGACTCCAAACAACACAAATTTGAATTACATGGGTCCACTTATGTTTGGACTTTTTTTTTTCAACTTTATACTGGACAAAAACAGACTGACAGGACATGACCCCAGTGACCAGAGAACATCCCTGAAAGAGACTTCATATGCATCATGTGATGCAGTAGGAAAAACAGCATCTCTTTTGATGCAGTAGGAAAGACAACATCTCTTTTGAGTATTTTTGTAAAAAATCAAACCCAAATTTGAGTAAGCCTCTAGTCCATCTGTTTATAGAAAATACAGGGAGTAGAAGAATGTGTTAAACCACGTCTCGTGTACACAATCATTGAAATCCACAGTATGTAAAATTGTTCACCCCTCCTACTTTAAAAGTGTGGTCTGCAAACCACACTATCTTCAGAGAGCTTGTTAGAAATGCTGATCCTCAGGCCTCATCCTTGGCCAGCTGGTTCAGATTCTGCTTTTTGACAAGATTTCTGAGTAATCTGCACATGCCTTAGGGTTGAAGTTGAAGAAGCATGTGAAGTTGAAGAAGCGGATAGTGACCTGGTTTCCTCAACGCATAAATGGTTAGGGAGAAAAGGGAGGTAACTGTTACAGTGGTATGGAGGACCTATTCTTGCTTTCTTGAACTTACAGAGTTGAATGATACTCGGTATCATCATTGGGAGAAAGATTTAAAGAATGTGCATTATAATCTTCACTACAGTCCAGTGAGTTATAGTGGAAGGGCGTTAGTGTAGGAATCCTGTTTTCACACTACAGTTGACTCTGAACAGCACAGTTTGAATTACATGGATCCTCTTAATATGTGGGGTTTTTTTTCAGTGGAAAACTAACACTACACAAACTGAGGTTAGTTTAATTTGAGAATAGAGAACCATGGATTCAGAGAGTTGACTGTAAAATTATACACGGATTTTTGACTGCATGGGGTGGTCAGTGCCCCTAACCCCATGTTGTTCAAGCATCAACTATTTAGAGTAATCATGTTTCAGATGACTCAGAAATTCAGTACAGGACTTAAGAATGATATTGTTCTCTAATAATGATAACTTTATCCCTAAAGTTACAGAGTACAGATTTATCTTTAACAATTTTTTCTGCTTGGACAGACCTGTTCAAAGTCTTATGAGCCCATTCACATTTCTAAAAGGAGGACTTTGGACTAGATCTCAAGGATTCTTTCTGACACTCAGATTTTGGGATAAATAAATCATTTAAACATTTAAAGTATGTTTGTCTGCTGATAGACTTCAAGCTTATTTGGAAAACAAGGTGTCCCTGTTCATCAGCACAGCCCCTACTGGTCCACATTTTTAATGCATATCTGAGATCCCATTGCAGAACCGCAGAGTGGTTGCACCAGCTGCACCAGCTGACTGCACAGTGGTCACGGCAGCATCGCAAAGAAACCCCAGCGTCAGCCCTCCAGCCAGAGTCTGTGTGAGGTTGTTGAGACCATCATCACCATACCTTCCAAGCATGACTAAGTAGGACATGTTTCAGTTCAGTTCAGTTCAGTTGCTCAGTCGTGTCTGACTCTTTGTGACCCCATGAATTGCAGCACGCCAGGCCTCCCTGTCCATCACCAACTCCTGGAGTCCCCCCAAACTCATGTCCATCAAGTCAGTGATGCCATCCAACCCTCTCATCCTCTGTATCACCCTTCTCCTCCTGCCCTCAGTCCCTCCCAGCATCAGGGTCTTTTTCCAATGAATCAACTCTTGGCATGAGGTGGCCAAAGTATTGGAGTTTCAGCTTCAGCATCAGTCCTTCCAATGAACACCCAGGACTGATTTCTTTTAGGATGGACTGGTTGGATCTCCTTGCAGTCCAAGGGACTCTCAAGAGTCTTCTCCAATACCACAGTTCAGAAGCATCAATTCTTCGGCGCTCAGCTTTCTTCACAGTCCAGCCCTCACATCCATACATGACCACTGGAAAAACCATAGCCTTGACTAGACTAGCCTTTGTTGGCAAAGTAATGTCTCTGCTTTTAAATATGCTATCTAGGTTGGTCATAACTTTCCTTCCAAGGAGTAAGCGTCTTTTAATTTCATGGCTGCAGTCACCATCTGCAGTGATTTTGGAGCCCAAAAAAATAAAGTCTGACACTGTTTCCACTGTTTCCCCATCTATTTCCCATGAAGTGATGGGACCAGATGCCATGATCTTAGTTTTCTGAATGTTGGGCTTTAAGCCAGCTTTTTCACTCTCCTCTTTCACCTTCATCAAGAGGCTTTTTATTCATCTTCACTTTCTGCCATAAGGGTGGTGTCATCTGCACGTCTGAGGTTATTGATATTTCTCCCGGCAGTCTTGATTCCAGCTTGTGCTTCTTCCAGCCCAGCATTTTTCATGATATACTCTGCATATAAGTTGAATAAGCAGGGTGACAATATACAGTCTTGACGTACTCCATTTCCTATTTGGAACCAGTCTGTTGTTCCATGTCCAGTTCTAACTGTTGCTTCCTGACCTGCATATAGGTTTCTCAAGAGGCAGGTCAGGTGGTCTGGTATTCCGACCTCTTTCAGAATTTTCCACAGTTTATTGTGATCCACACCGTCAAAGTCTTTGGCATAGTCAATAAAGCAGACATAGATATTTTTCTGGAACTTTCTTGCTTTTTCGATGATCCAGTGGATGTTGGCAATTTGATCTGTGGTTCCTCTGCCTTTTCTAAAACCAGCTTGAACATCTGGAATTTCATGGTTCACATATTGCTGAAGCCTGGCTTGGAGAATTTTGAGCATTACTTTACTAAGGACATGTTTAGAAATCAGTTTATCCCGTGTTTGTTTCTTTATAAGTTTTGCTTTCCAGAAGTGTTTTGTTTTTTGTTTTTTTTTTTTCAGAAGTGTTTTAAATGAGCCATGCTACTTAAGGGGTGGAGTATATTTTGCTTTCATTTTTCTTGCAATCCCATGAAACCTAAACATTAATAGTGTCTTAATTTGTCTGCTTTTTCTGGCATAACTAGTTCCAATGGCTGGGAATAAAGGAAGAGGACGTGCTGCTTATACATTTAACATTGAAGCTGTTGGATTTAGCAGAGGTGAAAAGTTACCTGATGTTGTATTGAAACCACCCCCACTATTTCCTGTAAGTACATTAACAGCAAAATTCTCACCAGGTGCTTCTCTTGTTTCAGAGAGAATTTGAATACTGTATAAGTCTTGAATATATGATATCATTATGATATCCTAAACTGTAAGAAAGTAAAAGAGATGGTCACTTACCTTTAATTTAAATATTTCCACTCGTGTTTTCTGAAACATTTCTAATTTTCAGATTGCTTTCTTAAAATGCAAAAAACTATATATATTTTTTCCCTGAATAAATTCAGTATTTTGTGATCAAGAATTTTTCTTTCAATTCTTGCGTCTTATAATGCTGTTATTGATATATTTCAATATTAAAATAAGATTTTTAAAAGTAAAGTTAGATTTTATAGTGGTCCTCACTTCCCATTTTGTCAGACCTTCACTTAATGACTTTATTCTCATCTTTTATCTATAGAATTTAATTTTGCTCCCTAGTATACCACTTGGCCTTTTTTTTTTTTACTTATTTCCTTATTTTATTAAAGTAAATTTTAATTTTGTTACTGTTTTTTAAAATATAAGCATTTCTACTACATTTAGTATTGCTTTTAAATTTAATTATGCTGTAAACTTAATTGATAAAATTTTTAATCAAATGCTTGACCTTATATTTAGTTAAAACTTAAGCTTACATTTCCAGATGCACATGTGCTGTGGTACAAAATATGAAAAAGTCATAAATAACCAAATACTCCTTCCAGGAATCTTTTCCCTCTTTCAAAAGGAAATGTCCTTTGTTGAAAGATTTATATAAGTAGAGGACGCTGAACAGATGTTCTTGGGATCTAGAACATCTCACATGGGGAGTGTCTACTTTTTTACTCTTGATATTTTGCCTTTCTGATATTCAGTGCAGCCTAAAAACAAAGGTAAATATCTCAGGTATAGACATAGTGTCGCTTTATATTGGTTTCCTTTTAAAACAAGCTCTTCTTCATGTGTGAGATTATTTCTAAAGCTTGGGAATATTAGTACACACTATTGTTTTCTACAGGGAATAAAATTTATTCCTGGCTAAAAGGCTCTGTCTGATCTGGCTTTCTTCTGTCTCTCTGACCGTTTTCCCACCACTGTCCTCATTCCTTAGCTGTGGTGGTCTCCTTTTTCCCTTAGGCATTTTCCCCTGTTAGTTTCCCTGCTAGAGCCATTGGTCTCCCCATTTCTTTGTATGGATGGCTTCATATTCTTGTCCAGATTTCTGCTCAAAGATAACTCACCCAAGAGATCATGCATGCTTACTGGATAGACTAGCCATTTGCAATCTCCATGGACTCTGTCGGTCACTCTTTCCGCTTCCTGGCTTTAGTCCTGTCACTTATCACTATCTGAAATTGTGTATTACCTCATTTGTTTACTTATTTTTCTCCCCTAGAATATAAGTTCCACACAGGCAGAAAGTTTGACTAGTTCATCATGATATCTCCTGTTGTATTATAAAATATATGCATTCATAATACATATGTGTGTATACATGTAATTCTTAACAATTGAAGATAATAGGTTCAAATTTCTGCTTTGCCACTTTTGTGTTATATAGACTTACAGATTATTCACGTCTCAGCTTCCTCACTATAAAAGGGGAATTATTGATACTTTAGATGAATTCATGGGTTCTTAATATTGAGTACATCCAGGTTGTAGTAACCACTTGTTAAATAGTAGCTGCTACTACTTTTTTTTAATGCTCCTGCTCCTACTAATACCACCATGGCTAACAGGAAACCACCATAATAGGAGACTAAAGCAGCTGCTTTTATCTGGGTGCTTTGATTTTTAAAATACAGAATCACAGTCATCAGACTATATAGCAAATAACTGTTGGTGTGATCAGTAGAAAAATTAGGCAAGTAGGAAAAGTAAGTATCTTTTCTATGTGTAAAGTAAGAGCAAAATAGGAGATGGGTGGAAAGGTTTAATTGATAATAAAAGCTCAAAATATTTTAAGTTGGTGGTAGAACTTAATGCCTATAAAATGTGGTTTTTCAATAAAACTGACATTTTTTCAGAACATAGACAAAAGGGATATTAAAATGTTTCATTTATTTTGAAAAAAATTGCCTCAATGTAAACAGGATACAGACTACAAGCCAGTGCCACTAAAAACAGGAGAGAGTGAAGATTATGTGCTTGCCTTGAAACAAGAGTTAAGAGAAACTGTGAAAAGAATGCCTTATTTTGTAGAAACACCTGAAGAAAAACAAGGTGCGTATTGGACTCCGATTATGTGATTCACTGTCTATAGATAAAATAGTGTTTCACCATAAGATATATGATCTTTAATGCTGATTGATTTGATTTAGTCAGAAATTATCAACTACCTTGAAAAAGCATATTTATGTTGATTTAGCAGAAATTATAGTTTAAACTTTTTGATATTTTTAAGATTACCTTTCAAAATAAAAGTGTTATATGTTCAGTGAAATTTATGAAAACAGAAATATTAAGAAAGTGAAAATCACCCTGGAACTTCCCTGGTGGTCCAGTGGTTAAGGCTCATTGCTTCCAATGCAGTCCAATGCAGGAGGCGTGGGTTTGACCCCTGGTCAGGGAACTAAGATCCCACATGCTGTGCAGTGTGGCAAAAAAAAAAAATCACCTTTATTCCTTATGTCTAGAGAACTACTACTGATATTATATATTCCAAATTTTTCTTCTATGTGTATATCCTTTACAAAATTGGATTCATGTTACTTTGTATCTTCCTTGTTTACTCAATAGCATAGTATTAGCATTGGCACATATTCTTTTTTTTTTAATTAATCTATATTGGAGTATAGTTGGTATATAGTGTTGTATTACGTTCTGCTATACAGCAAAGTGAATCAGTTAGACTTATATCCACTATTTTTTAGACATTCATTACAGAATACTGAGTAAAGTTCCCTGTGCTATACAGTAGGTCCTTATTAGTTACCTGTTTTATTCACTTATTCTTAGACTATATGATTTTTGATGACTGCATGGTAGTCCATTGTGTGGCTATAACATTATTCATTGTAACTATTTCCCTGCTGTTAGATTTAAGATTATTTTTAGTTTTTTTGCTCATGTGTATAATGCTGTGATTTTTATCCTTATACATAAATCTTTGAAGCAGGTCTCTGTTTATTTAGTATTTTGGTTAAAATTTTTGAAAGCCTTGACTATATTTTGGCTCACCATTTATATCAAATATAAAATGTAAAAGATGTATTCATTCATTATGCCAAGGACAGAGAGGAGAAATTGTAGTTGAAGAAGGCTTGACAGTCTCAGACTGAAAGTGAAGTGGTTTCAGACGAAGGGAACACATTCCTGAGTAGTTATTTAGCACAGTAGAACTATATTGATTTTCAGTTTCTGCCCTTGAATGTTGAAATTAGATCGATATCATCCTTGAGTTCTCAAAACAACATCATTAAAACATGAGAAATTCCTATAGTGTCATCTCATTCCATTAGTATTAAAAATGCATACCCTTTCCCTCTTTCTAAAAGACTTAGAATTGGATAAGGATCAAAAAGGAAGTCTTATATAGTAATACCACATGTGCTTATAATTGTAAGAAGCATTTTAGACAGGTTTATTTAATTTTTCAAAAGAAAGCTGCTTGAAGTTATATAATAAATGATTTGACATTTTACCTCAGAAGTGCTAAATTTTTTTTACTTTCATGATTATGTCACATGCTTTTATCTGAGTTTAAAAATGAAATTAAAGGTCATTTTAAAGATTTAAATAAGTAAGATTAAGTAAACTGATAAATATCCATTTTTATTGAAAAAAATTACAGTGTAGGGTATACTTTAGCCTTTTTAAAATTAGTCTCTAGACTATGGAACATACATATTTAACCAAATGTAACTGTAAAGTACATATCTAATTTAAAAGTACATCATACCGTGAAGACATTTATTTGAGTCATTTAGACCAGGAGCATAATTTTGTTTCTGATTTCTGGGAGTAGCTGTCTTATACATGGGTCAAAAGGCTCTTTACCTTTTATAACTGCTTAATGAAGTATTTAAAAATATAAGGAATCATTTGCTACTGTTTCAGAAGAAAACTCTTGCATAGAATTTTCCAAATTGATCCAAGTATATTCTCTTCAAATATACTCATGTTTACCTCTCTTTCCTGATGTAATGTTTTATTAAAAAAAAAACACCAACTGTGGTTAATACAGTATATACATATATGGTCTTTCCTGGTGGCTCAATGGTAAAGAATCCACCTGCCAATGAATAAGACCTGGGTTCCGTCCCTGGGTTGGGAAGATCTCCTGGAGAAGGAAGTGGCAGCCTTTCCAGTATATTTGCCTGGCAAATCCCAAGGACAGAGGATCTGGTGCACTAGAGTCCATGGGTTGCAAAAGAGCTGGACATGACTTAGTGACTAAACAACAGCAACATGTATATGTGGATACAGGTTAGTATAATATATACTGTAGATACACATTATGCATGTGTATATACACATACTAATAGTGTGTATGTATACACACCATGAGTGGGAAAGAATTGACCGGACTGAATAGAAGTGCCCAACTGTCATAGGAAGCCATATGGTAGGGATTGTTCCATCACCATGTCTTCACTACCCTTTCCTCATCACTGACTTCCTGTGTGCTTTAGGACAGAGCGACTTATGGACTCACAATGTAAAGAATTAAATCTCTAGAGACTTGAACAGATGGAGTAGGAAATCTCTTGCTGATAATCAAGTGCCTGGTGGCTCAGGGGCATTGAGATTTTTCACAAAGAACCAAGGCCCCAGAATAAACATTTTTCATGTTGTTAGGTGTTCCATGGTTATTTATAGTGTTCTGAGGTAGAATTATAGAAGTGATTGGTGTTTTCTCTACAGTGAAGTGCATTATTTTTGTAATAAAGAGAAAAAAAAATCAAATATTATTATTTTAATGAGTTTTAGCTCCAAAGGTACATAGAGAACATCTGGTCCAGTGGTTCCCAGCTCAGGTTCCTGAGCCACTGGGGTCCTCTGAGCTAGAAACAGGAGTGACAGTGGTGATGGTTCTGTAAGCCATTTTCAGAACTTCAAAACTTAATGGAAATCGTGCCTCTACCTACATTATGACCACAAGGTCTCTTATTAAATGAATGGAGTTTGTTTGGTTTATTAACTCTCACTATATGGTCATGGCCCACGAGACCTCATTTAATTTTTTAGTTTCTTTTTTGGAGCATTTCTTACTATATGTAAGGATTGATGTTCATAACTTATTTTTTCATAGAGATCTTCCAAGGAACAAAGAGAACCTGCTTTAAAAGAGAAGAAAAGTTATTTTGTCTTAGCATTACCTGTATTGGCCCATTGGACCCGTTTGTAAATCTAAAGTACATTTTGGAATTTCAGTGATCTTACTTTTCTTGCATCTTGAAACATTTTTCTGCTTCATCATCATAGATATTATTTCATCATTTTTCATCAGTTATTCTCTACTATGCTCCAAAAGACTAAAATATAAAAAATGGAAGAATGATGAAATTTCATAGAAGCATCATGCAATACTGAAACAAATTATCACTGTTACATCATCCTTTAATTTTCTTATTGTGTTGGCTAAAGTACAACATTAATTTTTAAGGCGATATAGAATAATTCTGGAGAGACTCCTGTCTGTATAGTTGCTTTGGTTTTGTTTAGCTTTCATAGAATACAATTTAGAATTCAGAAATTTTCATTTTTCTACCCATAACTGCAGAGAAGAAAATTGGCAGAGAAGGATGTTTCAGTTAACTAGACAAATCAGAAGAGGAATGCAAAGAGATAGAAAGGAGCCCCTTGAATTCTAATAATGCTGGTGAAAGGTTGTTGCTGAACAGTAAGACGCCGTGATTCTTGGCCTCCGGAGGAGACGAGTTCAGTCCAGGGCCAGAGACGAGGCTAGATCACTCAGAGCCTTTATGTAATAAAAGCTATGTAATAAAGTTTTATTAAAGTATAAAGGAGATGAAGAAAACTTCTGACATAGGCATCAGAAGGGGGCAGAAAGAGTACCCCCCGCTAGTCTTCAGCTGGATGTCACATAGTCACTAGCAGTCTGTTAATGAAAAGAAAGGAATGTCTTAAAACTCAGAATGGCACCAGGCCCCTCATCCATAAGATGCATTTTGGGATAATCTTGGCACCAGATGATTCATCCCAGGCCATAAAAGGATTGACTTGAATCTTGTAGAAGGGAAGATTACCATACAAATAGGTTCGTTTACATAGATTAGGGGAACAATATCTGAGTATAACAAACTGGTTTGTCAAGTAGGTTCTGAGCCATTAGGCAGAACCGACTTGAAGACAGAGTCTGGGGTAAATGCATAGCACATTAACATAGCTTAAGACAAACATTTCCATAAGAAAAGTGTATTGGTTAACTCAAGATTTGAGAATAGTTAGTTTCAGGTGAAACCAGGTATCATGGCAACACAGTATTTTAAGAGAAACCTTCTTTTAAATTTGTATAGAGAAGGAAAAAAATATCCCTAGTTTGTTTCCTCCTGCTGCTTAAAAGAGACAAAAATGTCTGACACTTGCAGCCTATTTCCTCCCATTTGGAGACCCCTGGCCTTCCTGCCTGTTACCCTCTCACTGGTGGAATTGATGGTATAAGGAAAGTCTCACACTGAGTCTTCAGATGACAGTATCCTAGATGAATTTTCTCAAACTTATGAATCAATAAGTAAACAGTGTCTCTCAAAGAATGAAAAGGAAATATGGCGTTCTCATACAGTTAATCTTTGAAACGGACCTCGTCACATAATATTTTGTGGTAGGAACATGGAAAATTCCATTTGCTAAAATGACATGTGACCATATTTTTTTCTTTTTTGTTGGTTTTTATGTACCAAATATTTGTAACTAACTAGACAGCTGCTGAAAGCAAAGGCAAAGACAAAGATGACTGAAAGGAAATAGATTATGTAGAAGTGAAACAATTTATTGGATTGATCATATTAATTGGTAATGATATATTTAATAATTAAAATGGCTGGGCCATCCTCTCTTCAACAGAAGTGTGAGCCATAAAAGTTTTTTAAAGCATTACTTTTTGATGGTGCAAGTACAAGAAGAATTGGACATAATGATAAGCTAGATCATGTTAATAGAAATACATTCGTAATCTAGAATCACTTGGGTGGTGTAAGTATGAGAAAAGCCAGAAGTAATAAAGATTTATTTGAAATCCAGAATCAGGATATATGAAATACTTATGTTTATGGTTTGCACATGACAAACTCACAATGCACAGTTGATGCACACTTAGCTGTATTTAAAGGATGTTGCTCATTTTGGGTAAATATACCTTCAAAACCAAAAAAATAGTGGAGTGTAAGTTTCAGTTAATGCTTATTAAAATTCCCAATGATTACTTTTCTTTCTTTTTAAAAAACAGTTTTATTGAGATAGTGAAAGAAAGTGTTAATCACTCAGTCGTGTCTGACTCTTTGTGACCTCATGGACTGTAGCCCATAACCTCCAGGCTCCTCTGTCTGTTGGATTCTCCAGGCAGGAATATCCTGGAGTGGGTTGTCATTCCCTTCTCCAGGAGATCTTCCCAATCCAGGGACTGAACCCAGGTTTCCCACTTTGCAGGCAGATTCTTTACCATCTCAGCCACCAGGGAAGCCTTATTGAGATAAAAATCCAGATATATACAATTTACTTTTTACAGCATACAGTTCAGTCCCTTTGAGTGTACTCATAAAATTGTTCCAACAGTACCATCTAATTTATAGAATTGGTTCATCATCCTGAGAAGAGACTCCCATACCCTTTAGAATCAACCTCTATTGTCCCCTCCCTGCCTCAGCCCTTGGCACCCTGTAATCTGCTTTGTCTGTTTCAGACATTTCATATAAATGGAATCTTAATGTGTATTCTTTTGTGACTGATGTCTTTCATTTAGCAGAATGGTCTCGGGGTCATACATAGTGAAACATGTATCAGTGTTTCATTACTTTTTATGGTTGAATAATATTCCATTATATGTATATACCACATTTTGTTCATTCATCAGTTGATGGACATTTGGGTCACTTCTACAGTGGGGTTTTCATGAATAATGCTACTATAAACATTCACGTATGTGTTTTTGTGTACCATGTCACTTTTGTTGTATATCTAGGGTCAGATGGCAAGTTTTTATTTTACATTTTGAGGAACTGCCAACTATTTTCCTAAGTGGTTGCACCATTTTATATCACCTACAATGTATGAGGGTTCCCGTTTCTCCACAGCCTTGTTAACACTTATTATTGGTTCTAGCCATCCAACTGGGTATAAAGTGGTAGCTCATTGTGATGTCATCCAACCATCTCATCCTCTGTCTCCTCCTGCCCTCAGTCTTTCGCAGCATCAGGGTCTTTTCCAGTGAGTTGGCTGTTTGCATCAGGTGGCCAAAGTATTGGAACTTCAGCTTCAGCATCAGTCCTTCCAGTGAATATTCAGGGTTGATTTCCTTTAGGATGGACTGGTTGAATCTCCAACCTTGCCTCCTCCTATCCTTTTCCCCACTGTCTTCCCCAATGGGTTGTGAAAAGTGTCCCTGAGAAGACTAGCTGGATGTGTATATTAAGTATTTGCTTACTTTATTAGAGGTAAGCAAACAGCCCTCCATCCTCACTTAGGTACTTAATACCTCCCAGTTACACAAGATTCAAAACTTGGGAGCTAGAGGCAGTGTCACAAGAAGAAAAAAGATACACAGCCCTCCCCCTGTCCCCCGCCCCCCGACTTTTTGTGTAAGTGGCTTCCTGACTTGCCTTTGGGCTTTTGTGAACATTCTCAGAGATGATTCAGATTATCTGATACTGAGAACTTTAATTAGGGTTTAGGTCTCTACTCACCCCCAGCCATTTATTCTCAGGTGCTTCCTGCCACCTCCGTAGACATGTATTACCCTGTTCAGTCTGTGTCCAGGAACACATTGTGTACAAATGTAGGAAACTCCCTGTTTTGGAAATAAAAGATGTTACCTGGTTTTTTCAGTTATTTTAAAATTCTTTTTTCCTATCTTTTCTTTTTCTAGATATTGAAAGATACAGTAAAAGATATATGAAGGTGTACAAAGAAGAGTGGATACCAGGTAACCGTAAAACTGAAAATGTTAAAATAATCTTCAAAGGCTATCTCCCTACCCCATGTCTTTTTAGGACTATTTTCTATTTTGACTATAGGAAAATAGAGTCTGGCTCTTTTCCTATAATTAATTAACAACATATATCTTTTGAAAACTAAGATGAAAAGATTTTTATGTTGTAACAAGGAATAGTTGAAGTGATATTGTATATGTTCTTAGTATACTTTTTTTTTTAATAGGGCCGGCCAAACTCACTGGATTTTCCATTTTCATTGGATGCGATCACAGTTTTCATCTTTAATCTAATAGTGCTCACTTCTGTGTTCCTGAGTGCTTTTATAGCTTTTGAGGAGGAAACAAGTCTAGTTTTAAGAATATTTTCAGCCAGGCTGTGTATCTTCCTGTCTTTCCAGCAGGCATAGACTGTTTTTAGTTGTTAATGTGCCTTTTCAACAGAACCATACCTAAGAGAGTATTTCTTTTTTTCCAACATTCATAAAATTGCCTTTGGTAAAAAAAAAAAAAAAAAAAAAAAATTGCCTTTGGTAGAAGCAAGGGTAAGGGGCTGCAGAGATATCATCTACTTCAATTTGTAGAAAATTAACTGTTGCTATAGAAACGCAGTGACCTGTCAAGGCAACTTGGAATATACTAGTAAAACCCAGGTTTCCTCATTTCAACTCACTTCCCTTTGACATGGTGTGTTACAGAAACTGCCTGTATGCAGAAGCTTAAGTTGCATTTACAGCATTGGTTGCTTTCCTGAGTTACAGCATCTCTTTTCAAAGCTAATTGTTGATAATGTTGTGTCCCTCTGGAAATACTCCTCTTAGGTGTCTCATTTCTTCTACTACATAAATAGTTGTCTCTAAGTGATTCTTTGTTAGTACTTTGTCATGATCACCTATGGATCATTTATAAAAACAAACATATTAGGTTGGTGCAAAAGTAATTGTGGTTTTTTGCTTTGTTGAACTTTGTTGTTTGATATTGGAATACATTCTTAAATAAATGTGGTTATATTGTACTTACATTTTAATGCTCATTTCTTTATGTGTCTTTTTTTTTGGCTAAAGAAAAATTACTTGCTGTTTATTTTATATTTATTTTAGACTAGGGAAATGATGTTAGACAGAAAGCAAATTCAAGTGATTTTTCATTTGAGTTCAAAATGGGTCGTAAAGCAGTGGAGACAACTGTCAACATCAGCAACACCTTTGGCCCAGGAACTGCGAATGAACCTACAGGGCAGTGATGGTTCAAAAAGTTTTGCAAAGGAGATGAGAGACTTGAAGATGAGGAGTGTAGTGACCAGCTGAGAGCCATCATCAAAGCTGATCCTCTTACATCTACACAAGAAGTTGCCAAAGAACTCGACATCAGCCTTTCTGTGGTCGTTCAGCGTTTGAAGTGAATTGGAAAGGTGAAAGCCTTGATAAGTGAGTGCCTCATGAGCTGACCGAAAATTTTAAAAACTGTCATTTTGATGTTATGCTATACAACAGTGAACCATTTCTCCATAGGATAGTGACGTGCAGCGAAGTATGGATTTTATATGTCAACTAGCAATGACCAGTGCAGTGGTCAGACTGAGAAGAAGCTCCAAAGTACTTCCCAAAACAAAACTTGCACCAAGAAAAGGTCATGGTCACTGTTTGGTGGTCTGATGCCCACTGTCAGATCCACTCCAGCTTTCTGAATCCTGGTGAAACCATTAGATCTGAGAAGTAAGCTCAGCAAATCAATGAGATGCACTGAAAACTGCAGTGCCTGCAGCCAGTGTTGGTCAATAGAAAGGGTCCAGTTCTTCTGCCCAACAGTGCCCAACCGCATGTCGTGCAACCAGTGCTTCAAAAGTTGAGTGATTGGGCTAGAAAATTTTGCATCATCTGCCATATGCACCTGACCTCTCACTGACTACCATATCATCAAGCACTTTGACAAGTTTTTGCAAGGAAAATACTTGCATAAGCAGCTGGAGGCAGAAAATGATTTCTGAGAGTTGCTCAAATTCTGAAGCACGAATTGTTATGCTATAGGATTAAACAAATTTATTTCTCACTGGCAAAAATGTGTTGATTGTAATGGTTCCTATTTTGATTAATAAAAATGTGTTTAAGCCTAGTTATAATGATTTAAAATTCACGGTCTGAACCTGCAATTACTTTTATACCAACCTAATATTATTTAAAGCAAAATTTATTAATTCAGGAAAAATAGCTTGAGATATAAGTATCTTCTACAAACAGTACTGAGTTTTTTATTAGCAGGCAGCATTTTTTAAATCTATTTTCATGTTGTTTCAGTTTTCTGATTGTTTCTAAGCTTAAAAAAGAAAAACAAGTGACAAATTAGAGGACTTATTTAGCTAATGCAGGCAAAATCATTAAATGGAAGTAATTTACTTTTCCATAGCTATTTCTATTTTTAATTTTAAAGTTTTCCTATAATTATTAAATTGTTTAGTTTTGCATATATTAGGATTATGGTCACATATTTTAACTTTGAAAAAAATTTTTTCATTATGTAAGAAATACATATCAACTACAGAACATGTACAACATATAGAGTAATTGAATAATAAATTACATTTAAGGAAAATAGCTATAATCCCAACACAAGGAATTCCTGTAATATTTTGTTTCCAACCTAGTGCTTTCTCTGCACAAATATACATCTGTTGAAGCATTTACATGTTAGGTTTATTCTTTAAATGGGATTATATATGTATTGTTTTAGAAACTTTTTTAATTTAACAGTGTATCATGAATAATTTCTCATGCCCATAAATATTTTTCTACGTTTTTCATTATGAAAATTCCTGTACTTGAAATTATATAAAATTATGTAACTTAAAAGAATATTATAGGAATTTTATAAGTATTTCAAAGGTATTTTAATGAATTTTTTTATTTGGAGGAGAAAATATATCACTCTTATAGTTTAATCCCCAGCTAAATCTATACAGATATTAAATTTTATTTCCATTGCCACCGTCATGTTCTTTAAATATACCTAGTGCCAGGAATTCCCAGAGGAAACAGCCATTTTTATTTCTGCTTTTGTACACACAGATTGGAGAAGACTCCCTAGAGAGTTGATGCCAAGGAAAAAATGCAGAAAAGGTACATTAACTAATGTAATAATAATCCAGATAGGAAAAGGTTATTGCTTACCTTCTATCTATATGAAACTGTCAATATAAAGTTACACTCAATGTTCTAAATGCTTTTTCCGAAAGTCTTTTTGATATTTTGATTATTTTGTTAGTGCTTTTTGCTGTTGATTTTTTGTTTGTTTTTCCCTTAATTGGGAATCTTGATGTGCTAGGAAAGACTTTTCAATTATGTAGGTATTCTCATTTGTATATTTGAAATTTTTAAATGATTATACTGGCTATATTTTAAGTTTTTAACTACAGCATTTGGAACTGGTAACTTTTGGGAACTGGCAGAATAGAACTTTATGGTGTACATAAAATGCCGAAGTGAAAGTTTTTGTTGTGTTGTTCTTTCATAATTCCACCAAATAAAATGCTGTTGAGCAGCTACTATTGCCAGGCCCTGTGCTAAGAGGGATAAGCCGGTGAGCAAAGGAGTAGTAATCCTCACCCTCAAAGAGCTTACAGTCAGATGGAGTAAAGACATTCAGCATAGCACACTGTCTTCACTGGGAGGTCAGGGAAGGGTTTGTTGAAGAGATGTAGTTGAACTCCAGATTGAATGATGAGTACGAACTTGCTGTGATGAGGTTATGGGAGTGACGCTGGAGAAACCGGCTTTGTTAATGTGTTTTTCTTGTTGAGTTTTAAGAGTTCTTTCTGTATTTTGGATACTAATCTGTAGGAAAAACATTCCCGCTGTGTTTCTCCTTTCCTCTCATACCAATGCCACATTTACAGCACTTCTGACACTAGATAGATGGAGTTATTTTTTCTTACATATCAAAAAATTCTCTGCAACACCAACTACGTGTCTTATCATTTAATTCAGTTCTGACACTAATTGGAGTTAGCACTGATCCCACTAAGGGCTCAGTCCCAGGAGACTGCTCCCCACTACAGATATCAGTCACAAGTATAGTATGTCCCCAAGTTTCCCGCAACTTCTCTCTGCATTGGCTACCAATTGGAGGTTCCCATGACCCTCCCTGGTGGGATTTGATTTACCTGAACAGCTCACAGAACCTGGTGATATATTTACTTACATTTACCAGTTTACTATAATAAAGGTTATGATAAAGACCCAAATGGATGCACAGTCAAGTGAAAAGAGGCATAAGGTCAAGTCTGGAAGGTCACCCATGCACGTCTGTGGAATTGGGATGTGTCACCTTCCAGTTCACAAATATGTTCACCAATCCAGAAACTCTTGGAACCGCATACTTTGGGGATTTTTATGGGGGCTTCATCACATAGGCCTGACCAGTCGTTAACTCAGTCTCCAGCCCCTTTCCCCTTTCCCAGGGGTTCTGGTCATGGCTTGATGTGTCTGGTAGCCGGCCCCATCCTGAAGCACCCGGCCGCCCACCAAGAGTCACCTCCTTAGAACAAAAGAGACTCCTGTGCGCAGTTGCTTCAGTTGTGTCTGACTCTGCGACCCCATGGGTGGTTCCTCTGTCCATAGGGTTTTCCCGGCAAGGTTACTAGAATGGGTTGCCATGTCCTTCTCCAGGGGATCTTCCCAACCCAGGGATCGAACCCATGTCTCCTGCATTGGCAGGTGGATTCTTTTACCTGCTGAGCCATCAGGGAAACTCCAAAAGACACTCCTATTTTTCACTAAATTCCAAGGGATGTAGATTCTTGTTAGAACAACAACAACAAAACACTGTTATCACTTAGGAAGTTTTAAGGGTTTTAGCAGTTCTATGCCAGGAACCAGATGCTGAGACCAATATATGTTTCTATTTCACACAGTCCTTTTTCAAATATATCTTTTGCAAACATTTTCTCCCATTCCGTAGCTTGTCTTCTTACTCTCTTGACACTATCTTTTACACAGAAGTTTTGAGTTTTAATGTAGTCTAGGTTATCTGTTCTTTTTTTCATGGATCATGCCTTTGGTTTTACATCTCAAAAGTCATCACCAAGCTGAAGGTCACCTAAATTTTCTCTTATGCTATCTGTTAAGAGTTTCATAATTTTATGTTTTACATTTAGAACTGATCCATTGTGAGTTAATTTTTGTGAAGGGTGTAAAGTCTGTGTAAATTTAATTTTTTTGCACATGGAAGTCCAGTTACATTTTTCTGTATTTATGTGGGTCTCTTTCTGGGCTCTCTATTCTGTTTCATTGATCGATGTATTTATTTCACCTGAACCATAGTCTTGATTACAATAACTTTATAGCATGTTTTTAAAATCAGGTAGTACCATCGTCTAACTTTGTTCTTTTTCTTCAGTATTGTATTGGCTCTTTTCAGTCTTTTGCCTTCCATATATATAGTAGAGTCTGTTTGCTGATATCTGTAGAATAACTTACTAGGATTTTGATTGAGGTTGTATAGAACTTATAGATGTAATTGGGAAGAAGAGACATCTTGAAGATATTAGCTCTTCCTACCAATGAATATGGAATATGTCTCCATTTGCTTACTTCTCTGATATCATTATTCAAAGTTTTAGAGTTTTCCTCATACAAGTCATGTATATATATATTTTGTTAGACTTATACCTAAGTACTTCATTTTGGGATGTACTAATGTAAATAACACTGTTTTTCATTTCAAATTCCACTAGCTCATTGTTCATATATAGGAAATCTATTGAATTTTATGTATTAACCTTGTATGCTGTAATCCTGCTGTAATTGCTTATTAGTCCCAGAGTTTTTTAGCTCATTCTTTCAGATTGTCTACATATTGTCTATGAACAAAGAAAGTTTTATTTCTTCCTTCCCAATCTACATACCTTTTATATCCTTTTCCTATCTTAATGTATTAGCTAGGACTTCAGGTACAATGTTGAAAAGCAGCAATGAGGAGGGAACTTTTTTGCCTTCTTCCTGATCTTAGTGGGAGAGTGTCAAATTTTTTTTTATTACTAATGATGTCTAGTTTTCATCACTAAGCATAATGTAACTATAGGGTGTTTTTGTAGATATTCTTTACCAAGTTGAAAATTTTCTCCTCTGTTCCTAATTTCTAAAAAACCAAACAGCCATTCATGATAAAAACTCCTAATTTCTAAGAGTTTTTATCATGAATGGCTGTTTGGTTTTTTACATATGTTTTTCTGCATCTATTAATATGATCATGTGATTTTTCTTCTTTAGCTTGTTAATATGATGAATTACATTAATTGATTTTGGACCACCCTTATATCTCTGGGATAAATCCCACTTGGCTATGATGTATAATTCTTTCTATATATTGTTGGATTGGATTTAAGAATATTTTGTTGAGTTTTCTATCTTTATTCATGAGAGTTTTCTTTCTTGTAACATGTATCTGATTTTGGTACTAGGGTAATTCTGACCTTATAGAATTTTTAGGAAGTATTCCCTCTCCTTTTGTCTTTTGAAAGAGATCTCTTTCCCCCAACAGCTATATTGAGGTATAGTTGACATATAATAAAATGCACATGTTTAAAACATACAACTTGGAAAATTTTGACATATGTATTTTAAACAGAAGTATTTTCGTTTTGTTTCATTTCATAGCTACAACATTTAGCTTGATTGAGTATAGAATATTATATATTGAGATATAGTTTTCCTGCCCTCTTTTATACCGTTGCCTTTTATTGGGCAAATATATTATTTTCACAATAAAAAACATTTGCATCAATGGGCTTACTCAGCGGCTCAGCAGTAAAGAATCTACCTGCAATGCAGGTGACGCAGGAGACACAGATTTGATCCCTGGGTTGGGAAGGTCCCCTGGAGAAGGAAGTGGCAACCCTTTCCAGTATTCTTGCCTAGAAAATCCCACAGACAGAGGAGCCTGGCGGGCTACATCCATGGGGGCAAAGAGTTGGACACGCCTAAGCACACTCAGCCCCACGAATGATACCGGTCATGACCTAGTGGATCACGAATTTTTAGCAGACTTTAAAGGGCTGAAAAGAATATATCTGATTTGGAGGAATTCATGTTCAAACACATCCCACAGCTGCTCATCCTTAGAAGCCCATGGACACATTAAAGATTAGTAAAAGCTTGCAGCGTGTCAGGCTTTTCATTTGTTGAAAAACGAAACAGCAGCAAAACTTTCCTTTTCCATTCTGCTCTCATATTTTTGTTGCATATTATACACATTTTGTGTTTTGTTCCTGGTAAGCTTATATACTCTCTTTTGTTAAAAATGGTCTCCCTTGATTTACAAGAAAGTAGATAACACCTAAAGATCCAAAGACAGAAAAGGTTTGTTTCCTGAAGGTCCAGCTACTGGCAGGTGTTGTGTTGAAAGAAATAAAAAAAATTCAAATATATGCATGTATTTGGCCAAAGATTTTTTTTAAATGTAAGTGTTTTGGTGTTGAAACAGTCTTTTAACAGATTTTAGTAATTTTACACTTCTTTTCCAATTATAAATAAAAGAATTGGCATTACATAAAACAAGAATGGAATGTAGCAAAAATTGCTGAATGGACTTGAATATGCAGCTGCGACTTTCTTGGCTAAGAGATTAATAATTTTTATAAGTTTATTTACCTGATCGTGTTCTATAATATCCATTTAGCAGATTTATGTGTTATGAAATTTAGATAATTTGACAAAATTTCCTTAGACAAAAAGACTTCTTGATGTAAGTTACATTCCTAGCTAGTATTTTCTGGCATCAATATATGTTGAGAGCTTGTTCATATATATGATATGATATTTTATGTGCTACAATTCATATTAAACAGTTTTTGCCCTCAAGGGAAGCAGAGAAAGTTACCCATCATTGAATCTAGCTTTTGTTTGAGCAAAACCTCACTAATATATATGTTCAGGAGTTTCTAACTTAGAGATTCCCCAAGGGGCAATTTGGTATAAAACAGTAAATTGTAAATTCTATCAGTTATGGGTCATGCACCACAATCTAAAAATCTCTTCTTCTGTAGGTTAAATGTTAATCTTTAACAAAATTACATCTTTTTCAGCCATATTTTCCTGTTACCAAGTAATTTCTAAGTATTTAGCTTGATTTTGGGAAAGGATGATAATACTTTGTGATCACAGTGGGACAATTTTGTAACATCAATTTTGTAACGTAACATCATGATTTTTGTAACATGCCAATTTTGGTAACTGACTAGCAAGATCTATATGTGAAACAATTCTCTATACCCTGCAGTTTCACAATACCCTCAAAATGCAATATTTTTGATATAGCTTAAAAATTATGTATCCCAAAGCTATTAAAGGGCTTCCCTAGTAGCTCAGACAGTAAAGCACCTACCTGCAATGCAGGTGACCTGGGTTCTGTCCCTCAGTCGGGAAGATGGAGAAGGGAATGGCAACCCACTCCAGTATTCTTACCTGGAGAATTCCATGGACAGAGGAGCCTGGCAGGCCACAGTCCATGGGGTCACAAAGAGTTGGACACGACTGAGTGACTAATACACACACAAAGCCATTAAAACATATTATTTATTATTGCTTTGAGTTTTCAGATTCATGTGATTGGTATGTTCCATTTATATATTTTATTCTTCATTTCAAAGATAATGCTGTGTTGCCCTTAATATAACCTCTTTCTCATCTCTTCAACCACTGGCAAATGTGTTTATTCTGCACTTGTTTGTTTTTTAATTGAAGTGTACTTGATTTTTGTTGTTTTTCAGTCGCTCAGTCGTGTCCAACTCTTTGCTACTCCATGGACTGCAGCACACCAGGCTTGCCTGTCCTTCACCATCTCCCTGAGTTTGCTCACTCATGTCCGTTGCGTTGGTGATGCCATCCAACCATCTCATCCTCTGTATCACCCTTCTCCTCTTGCCTTCAATCTTTCCCAGCATCAGGGTTTTTTTCAGTGAGTTGGCTCTTTGCATCAGGTGGCCAAAGTACTGGAGTTTCAGCTTCAGCATCCATCCTTCCAATGAACACCCAGGACTGATCTCCTTTAGGATGGACTGGTTGAATCTCCTTGCAGTCCAAGGGACTCTCAAGAGTCTTCTCCAACACCACAGTTCAAAAGCATCAATTCTTCAGCTCAGCCTTTTTTATGGTCCACCTCTCACATCCATACATGACTGCTGGAAAAAACCATAGCTTTGACTATATGGACCTTTGTCTGCAAAGGAATGTCTCTTTTTTCAGTGCGCTGTCTAGGTTTGTTATAACTTCTCTTTAAAGGAGCAAGTGTCTTAATTTCGTGACTGCAGTCACTTTCCGCAGTGATTTTGGAGCCCAAGTAAATAAAGTCTGTCATTGTTTCCATTGTTTCCCCATCTGTTTGCCATGAAGTGATGGGACTGGATGCCATGATCTCCTTTTTTTGAATGTTGAGTTTTAATCCAGCTTTTTCACTCTCCTCTTTCACCTTCATTAAGAGGCTGTTTAGTTTTTCTTCACTTTGTGCCATAAGGGTGGTGTCATCTGCATATCAGAGGTTATTGATATTTCTCCCCACAGTCCTGATTCCAACTTGAGCTTCATCCAGCCCGGCATTTCTCATGATGTAAGGACTTCCCTTGTGTCTCAGCTGGTAAAGAATCCTCCTGCAATGTGGGAGACCTGGGTTCGATCCCTGGGTTGGGAAGATCCCCTTGAGAAGGGAAAGGCTACCCACTTCAGTATTCTGGCCTGGAGAATTCCATGGACTGCAGCCCACGAGGTTACAAAGTTGGACACGACTGAGCAATTTTCACTTTCACTTTCACTCTGCATATAAGTTAAATAAGTCAGGTGACAATATACAGCCTTGACGTGCTCCTTTCTCAATTTTGAAACAGTCTGTTGTTCCAAGTCTGGTTGTAACTGTTGCTTCTTGGCCTTCATACAGATTGCTCAGGAGGCAGGTCAGGTGGTCTGGTATTCCCATCTCTTTAAGAATTTTGCACAGTTTGTTGTGATCCACATAGTCAAAGGCTTTAGTGTAGACAATGAGGCAGAAGCACAGGTTTTTCTGGAATTCTATTGGTTTTTCTGTGATCCAATGGATATTGGAAATTTGATCTCTGGTTCTTCCGCCTTTTCTAAATCCAGCTTGTACGTCTGGAAGTTCTTCTGTTGAAACCTACTTTGGAGAACTTTGAGCATTACCTTGCTAGCATGTGAAATGAGTGCAACTGTGCAGTAGTTTGAACATTCTTTGGCATTGCCCTTCTTTGGGATTGGAATGAAAACTGACCTTTTCCAGTCCTGTGACCACTGCTGAGTTTTCCAAATTGGCTGGCATATTGAGTGCAGCACTTTCACAGCATCATCTTTTAGGATTTGAAATAGCTCAACTGAAATTCCATCACCTCCACTAGCTTTATTCATAGTGAAGCTTCCTAAGGCCCACTTGACATCACACTCTAGGATGTCTGGCTCTAGGTGAGTGATCACACCATCATGGTTATCTGGGTCATGAAGATCTTTTTTGTGCAGTTCTTCTGTGTATTCTTGCCACCTCTTCTAAATATATTCTGCTTCTACCATTGTTGCAATTTTGGCCCTGATGTCATAAATTGCCAGGTCAAATTTTTAGTAAAATATCTGGTTGTATAACAGACCAAGATGAACATAGCCTTCAGCAGGCAGCTATTGCTGTGTGTCATTACGCTGCACGCTGCTACCAAGCAACAGGTTTTGCTCAGCTACTGCTCGTTGCCTCAGTGGGCCCTGCCCCCAAGCAGCCAGCTGTCAATGAGGGACCACTGGGGAAGAGATTCAGTCAAGGATTGGTGGTGTGGGGGTCATCATGTGGAGAGTGAGGTCAGAGGCAGATTTAGGCCTTCTCCTGGAGGCCCTTCAGCTGACCCAGTCTTGGGCCAGCGGGTGAGCAGGAGGGCCCAGGGAACAGACTGGGGACTATGTCCTGCTGGGCTCCAGAGCCCTCACGGACGCCCTCCACTAGCCGTGGTTCAGGCCTTGGGTGAGCCTTTCCCCCATACCTCTCTCTGCAGTCTAATGGCAGAGGCCGTCTGTCTGGGTCACAGTCCGTGAGACCTGGTCCCCCCTTTTGGGGGGCCTGAGGAGATGGAAGGCCAGTTGAGTTGGGCGCCTGACTCCCTCAGGGATAACAGCTGGGCAGGATGTGGGAACCTGGCCCTGAAGGAGCCACCACCTGAGATTTGCCTCCTCTTAGCCGGGACTGGGACCTTGGAGGGTGAACGTTGTGCCCTGGGGCTTTGCCCTTTCTTGTCAGGACAGCGAATAACATTCATCTGGTAGAGATTTTCAGGAACATCATTACCTGATCATGACCCGACTTAAGAAGTCTGCAACTACTAACCACAGCCATCCCTCACCTTTTGCTTTTAAAGGGACTTGCTGAAAGCTTTCAGTAACTTTGGGGTTCCTAGGGCATGAGCCACCCATCTCCTTGTATGAATCTGTAATAAGCCTTTCTCTTTCCAAACTCTGATGTTTAGTATTGATGGGCTTCACTGTGCATCAGGCACATGGGCTTGCGATTTCGGTAACAGTTGCAGACTTAGAAAATATCCTATTAAGTGATTATCGTTTGCTCCTTATCATGGCAAATTGCTAGTGTGTGCTGATGTATTTTGTTCATTCTTTAAGTTAATTCAGCCTGCAAATTATGTGTACCGTGTGGCATACCACCCTGCTAGATGGCATATTAAAAGGCAAAGACATTTAATACGCAATTGCTGTTATACAAAAATGTGTTACCAGTGGTTTTACTTCAGCAGGCCCCAGATCCAAAAAGGCAACGGATACAGGCAAAGGCCCTTCACTCACAAATCCTGCGGATGTATTGAAAAAAATCGAGGTAAGGTTTTCTTCTCACTATAAGAACAGACTGAGAAAATGTCATACCTCTTTTTGTCTTCTGCAGCCTTTCCACCTTCTGTCTCTTTTAAATGACTTGTGAATTTGGCAGAGTCAAGCCCAGCATATAGGGTAGCTAGCAATGTTTGAACAATGTTGGCTAGGAGCTATGGGGGCTCCATCCTATTCTTTCTACTACCCACCTGTCAGCTTGCCTCACCTTCTATCATCTGCCTCTTTTCCACTCTATTCCTCTTTTCCTCTTGAATTATGCATGGGAAGGAAACATAAATGTATATCTCCAAAAACCTCTCATTTTTTCTCTCATTGGTGTATATGTATTTTTAATGCTTTTATTCTGTCTTATGTTTAAAAGATTCTATTGAGGGAAAATCCTTTCTTGTGGCACTTATTTTTATTGCCTTTTAAAAAATATCTGAAAAATAAAAAGATGTAAAATTCTAAAAATTAATAAACTGAAAATATGCCCTCCAATCCCTGCCCCTAGCCATCCATCCAAGTCCCCTATTAGAGACAACCAGTGTTACCAGTTTCTTATATATCCTTCCAGAAACATTTTATACATAGAAAATACTATTTTTTCTTTTTAATAACAAAAAGTAACATATTGCCCTCTTTTGCCTTTTTATCTTATTACTTAAAATATGTTGGCTTCTCTATCAGTCTACAAAAGAGTTCCATCATTCTTTTCTTTCTTTTTTCTTGGCAACACTATAAGAATGAACCATAATAAATTTAATCAGTAACCTGTTGATGGACATTACATACATGGCTGTCCTGGCTGTGATTGTTCATTAAAAAGTATTTCACAGAGGATAGGAAGCTCTATGAAATACCAGAGGGCTTCCCAGGTGGCACTAGTGGTAAAGAACCTGCCTGCCAATGCAGGAGATGTAAAGAGATGCAGGTTCAATCCCTGGGTCAGAAAGATCCCCTGGAGAAGGGAATGGCAACCCACTCCAGTATCCTTGCCTGGAGAATCCCATGGACAGAGGAGCCTGGCAGGCTCCAGTCCATAGAGTCGCAAAGAGTCGTACAGGACTGAAGCGACTTAGCACACACACGTGTTTCATTTAGTGTTTCACTATTAGAAGTAATGCTAGGACTTCCCTAGTAGTCCAGTAGTTAAGACTCTGAGCTTTCACTGCAGAAGGCACATGCATTTGATCCCTGGTTGGGAAACTAAAATCCCACATGCCATATGGCATAGCCAAAAAAAAATTTTTTTAATTAAAAAAAAAATTATATATATATATATGTATATAAACAGTGGAACAGTGAATCCATGTTAAGTATGTGATTTCACTTGTGCAAGGTAGATTTCTAGAAGTAGATTTGCTAGGTTAATTGTTATATGTACTGTATAATATAGAAAATATAGATAATATACATAAATAATGGCAGATCATTCTCCACAGAGGTTATACCAGTTTATTCCCTTAGTCCCACTGTCAGTGCGTGGATTATCTTGCCTTGATGGTGATAGTGATGATGATGAGGAGGATGATATGATAGCAGCTATTGCTTTTTGAGAACTTTTTATATAGCGGGTGATGAGCTATTTACATCTGTTATGTCCTTAAGATTTCACAACAACAAAGAGAATAGGTATTATTATTCCTTATTTAAGGATGAGGAAGTCAAGGCTTTAAAACTTGCCTGACCAAGTTAGCATAGCTACATGGTAACAGAAACTCTTTTTTTTTTTTCCCCTCATTTCTCTTTTATGGAAAAATCTTTCATTAACCCTTTAATCAGTGAACATTGCTTTAAATTTCTACTCCCTGCAAGGTGTAGGATGAGCACAGCTAATGAAAGGCACTTAGGAACAATCTCTGATTTAAAAACCTCAGTGTCTGAGGAAGAAGGTAAGCTGCTGCTGCTAAGTCGCTTCAGTCATGTCTGACTCTGTGCGACCCCATAGACAGCAGCCCACCAGGCTCCCCCGTCTCTGGGGCTCTCCAGGCAAGAACACTGGAGTGGGTTGCCATTTCCTTCTCCAATGCATGAAAGTGAAAAGGGAAAGTGAAGTCGCTCAGTCGTGTCCGACTGTTCATGACCCCATGGACTGCAGTCTATCAGGCTCCTCCGTCCATGGGATTTTCCAGGCAAGAGTACTGGAGTGGGCTGCCATTGCCTTCTCCAGAAGAAGGTGAGATGTGAACTGAAATACTTACTGTTTAGGATTAGGACTTAGTTGGCTGCAGCACAGAAGGTGGTGGCCCCTGGTCAGTCTCTGAAGGGTTGGTTCCCTGCTGCCCAGGACCACCTCTCTCAGCCATGGTGCCACAGCTTGTCTGTCGGACTACTCTGCTGCCCTGATCTATTCCTCGGGCTCCTCCACGTCTTTGCTCTAAGCTTAGAGATCTTGGTTATTTTACTTTTGACCAGTACAGGCGCTGAAGATCACTTGTCTGAAAATCAAGCCAGGAGGATTGTTGAAGGAATAGCGATAAGTGTCAGGTTTAACTGGGATGAAATGATGGATGGGGTTGCAGAACTAGCCGCCTTGTATTGACTGAACACAGATTCTGACTTTTCTTAAAACTTCCTGGAAAGAAGCTGCTTAGAGGACGTGTGCTATAAAGAAATTTAGTCTGGACCTCTGGATGTGGTTTCTCATCAGAACAAATTGTATCTCCTTATGCCCTACACTTAAACACCTTTTTCATCATGTACATTGTTAAAACTGGAGTTTTAAATCTAGAAATCCCAATAAGTTAGCAACTTTAGTAGAACAGTTAGCTTCCAGATGACTCAGTTATTCATTTCTTCAGCAAAAGTCATTGCAGGTTTTCTTTAATAAAACTTCTGTGGAGAGGGAATGACATCCAGTCACATCTTAATGGAGGGAATAGTCAGACAGCAGTAAACTAATATTTGAGCTTATTTCTGTATGACATGCTTATAGGTGGGTGTCTCTGTTGGGTGGTCTACAGTATTTAAACAAAAAGGACTGTTTCCTGTCCATAAGTTAACTGTTTTCAAAATGTTTTCACATTGTGTTTTTTACATTGTTATTCAGGTTGTTCTTAAATCCATAAAGTAGTAAGGGTAAATAGTTACATCTCACAGAAGAGAAAATGGAGACTACTAAATAGACAAATGAAAACTAATAGCCTAACACAAAGGGAATGAAGTGATGAGACAGTGTGTGTGAGATCATTTTTCTAAATTTTATAAATCTGATATTTGTTAGCTGATTTAGGTATTTTATTGTTTTGATTTAGGTCTACGTGATAGAAATAAAGTTGAGGTTATTTATTTGAAGATAATTGAGATGGCAGTATTGAAAATCAAGACCTCCCACTCCCTACATAGACTGAATGAATTCTATACTTTAAAAATATTTTCACATAGCTAGTTTAAATAATTCTATTGCTAATTATGAAATAAGAGCTAACAGCATGATTTTTCGGATATAGCATATACTTTACACAGAGTTAAAAATAGCACTACAATTCACTTTAAACTACAGTCTGTGGGATGTAGGCCTTTTTACTAGGGTTTGATTAAAATAGAAAATAAAAATTTTATATCTTCATTAACATTAATGTAGCATCATTCTATATGTAGGTGTGTATTTATAGACATTTCAAAAAATCTATAAATATTATTTTGTTTGCTTGCAATTTTCCAACAGGACTGCCAGTTGGTAAAATTTCACACATTACATTGTAGTAATTCATAAAAGGTAACATGGGTCAGTAGCCCCAGTATGAAGATAAATCATCTTATATCTATTACCTTCATTTTATTTCTTCTAGCTAAGTGGGGGTAGGGTGACAGGAAAGGTGGAATTTGAATTTTTATTAAAAATTGAGACTATCTGATGGAGACTTTCATTGCCTTTGCTTTCCTTAAATTCATATTTGAATGGATTTTTAAAAATATTTAAGAGCCAAATGGAATGAAGTTGTTGTTATGCCAGATACAAAGTATGTTTTCTCTCTGTTGTAATCTACAGAGCAAATATCTTAAAATAAGGTGCAGTACTTACAGATTTATGAATTAGTGTTCTGATTACTGATTAATAATGTTTTAGCTAAAGTGATCTTCTGCCTCAATTATGAGTATTAATATATAAAACTATTGCTATTCCCCACCTCTTAGAAAACTTTTGAAATTCTGTCACTTGTGCAAATTAAACTTAGGACAGATTAGTGAATGGATATTAACAGTAATGAAAACAAGTCACTTTTATCAAATGGAAAATAAATGTTGGTAGTCATAATAGAAATACAAAGATGTAATCTTAAAGTTAAATCTATGTCTTATGAGAAGGTGGCATAGTGATTTTAACAAGGTAAGTGGAGCCATCACATAATCAAAGATTTTCTAACTCTGTATCTCTTCTTTGCCTCCATTCTTAGGGGTGCTAATAAGTGCTAATATTGACTCAGATTTGAGTTTTAATCTCTCTTTTTTCCAACCTGCCAGATACATTACAAAACAAAAATCCTTGGATATGGGAAGTGAATGGCTAGAGAGAACAGAGATAAAAAGATAGATATCATATCTTACGGCAGAAATCAACACACCATTGTAAAGCAGTTATCCTCCAATTAAAAATAAATTTTAAAAAAATAATGAAATGTTAGGAAAAAAAAACATGGATAATCTTCAAATAGGATAATTCATCCCAAGATGACTTGATATTATTTTAAACAGTTTCACTTAGCAGCTAAAACATAGACAGTTTGAAATGTTACCATTACATTCTCTTTTCTCCTTTCATGAAAGAGAAGGAAAACAAAATAACATTCTGAAAGTTCTTCATAAACTGAATCAAAATATTTTAGAAGGAAGTAGGATAGTAATCATAAAAATAAAGTACTATGATATAGAGCCAAAATCAAAGCGTTACCCAAGAGTGAGGTTTTTTTTTTTTAATATTTATTTTTATTTATTTGGCTACATAGAGTCTTTCTCAGTTGTGGCACATGGGATCTAGTTCCCTGACCAGGGATCGAACCCAGCCCCCCTGTATCGGGAGCACAGAGTCTTAGCCACTGGACCACCAGGGAATTCCCCCAAGACCGAGTTATGAAATAACAAAATCAAAGAAGGTACCAATGTAATGATGAGCCAATGAGTCCCTCCTTTCTTGAGGTAGCTCACAGTGTCCTAGGTGAGGGCCTGGAGGTGTTGGTAAGGGAAGGTTAGAATTAGGAGGTAGGTAACTGTTCTCTTGATGTTGAGCAGGAAAGTCAGAGTCTGGTGGTTTCCATTTAAATTAATGAAGCTCATTGATACCAGGAATTGGAAAAGAAAGGTGATGGTGAAAAATCAGATGAGGAAAATGAAGAGAAAGAAGGAAGCAAAGAGAAAAGTAAAGAAGACGATGATGATGAGGAAGATGATGCTGCTGAACAAGAGGAATATGATGAAGAAGAGCAGGAAGAGGTAAGGGTCTATTCTGGGAGAGTAGCGAAGTTCCTAAACTCAAGGATGCTCTAATAAGGAATCAGATGGTGGTATATAATTAAAATATTAAAAACCGATCTGATGGGAACCAGGGGTATATTATTATCAATGGCATCAAGTCTTTAATACTAGGAGAATTACAGCATTGAAAGTAGTGATACCAAATGGAATGTAGGAGGTAAGAGTAACTTGATAGACAAATTTGACTGTGGAAGTCCATAAGTTAAGGAAATAGTTCAGTTTAGTTTGAGATTTATCTACTTACCACTTTAAGTCAGCAATAAGTATAAATTACGGGTTTAGTCATATTTTGAGGGGGAATCCCAGAAATACCATCAGGTTTTAAATCCCAAAGTGCGTGTGACGCTATCAGAGAACATTCATAATTCAACCTCCAGTATGACTGAGTCAGGACTCCGTGTTTTAGATTTGGGATTTCCAACTTTCAGAAACAAGGTGCATTTCAAAATAAGCTGGAGTCAATCAATCAGGGTGAGTTTGTTGGCCACGGCCTCTTTGGGACTTTGTAGATGCCTCACGTAGTAACCCAAGGCTGTTTCTTCTGTTGATACATTCCAGTGACCATTGTCTGCACTCCATTTCAGCTTCACATTCCACACTGATGAATCTTTCTTTCACCTGAACTGCTCCACCTAAGAAATATTAATTATATGCTACAATTACTTTGCCTTAAATTTTGGTTTTAAAAAATTTATATTGGTGTGCAGGAAGGGTACTGATTCATTTTTGTCTGCTTCCAAATGGCTAGCCAATTGCCTGCCTCATGTACTAAATAATTTTCTTTCTGCATTGATTTGAAATTCTCCTTTATCAGCTCTTAGATTCCTTCATCTGCTTAGATGTATTTCTGGACTCTGTTCCATTGATCTATGTCTGAATCATCACTAAGACATTCTAATTAATAGAAACTTCTCATTATTTGTTAATATTTTAAGAGTGTGTTACTATTTTTTGAAATTTTCCTGAATATTCTTTGGCTTTTGAAATGCTCTCTTTATAAAGTCTAGACTTGAGTTGAGCTGTGTTGAAATTAAGATCTGTCCTAACAAGAAAAACAAACATTAGAATTCTAGTAATTTCAGAATTCCATATTGGGTCTAGAGTACTAAACACCACCAGTGGGTTCATATAACTGTATTTCATTTTTTAAAAGCCCAACTTTCTACTTTAATAAACAAATGATACATATTTTAAGGGTGAGGCTAGGTGAGTCTGGGTATAAGCAAGCTCAAGCCTTTCCATATTTAAAGTTCCTCTCTTTGCTCTTTCTAGCAGTTAACTAATGAAAAATTACTGCTAATTAAATCATTGAGATATATGTGTGTGTGTGTGTGTGTGTGTGTGTATATATATATGATGTGATAAGCATTTTGTTTGGAAGAGTAAAACGGAGCGAATTATCTATATAACACCTACATGTAAAATTGAGAAAATATGGACTTTTTTTCAGCCTTTTGAATGTTGTAATTAAAGAAAAAAGCAGGGGCCCAAATGAAGCCAAGAACCCTTTATACAGGTTCTGACTCTGTACCAATCTATGTATCAAAATTACTAATCTCACAGAATTAACAAATGTGAATCACTTGGAGGTGCTCAAGTCTAAAACCAAGTAGCATATGCTCAATTTGAAATACAGTCTCTCCCTTACTCATTTCCACCTGTGTGTATAAACTGACTAGCTTACAGTTTCACACCAGTGTCCTTACCAAGGTCTCCTGTACAAGGTGGCCTCACTTGAACCCTGCCACCCCTCCCCCATATACTATTCCCAGGATTCAGCCAGGTTTCCAGACTGTTGGGTTTCTTAGCACCAGAGAAACCAGGACAACCCTAGATATGATAAGGGTCTTAGTTGGAAATTAAAGTGTTTAGGGAGGACGAAGTAATGAAAGACATATCTGAATAATACAAGTTACCTTTCTTACATTATTTATATGAATTTATATATATTATCCCACCATGCAGATCCTAAAAATGATGATATCCAGGAGTCTTTCTTTTGAGAATAGTCTCTATTTCTTAATTACTCTGTCATAATTCCTGCTATAGATAATAGAGATATGGGGATTAATTTGGCAGGGCGTGAAGTAGTAAAGAGTAGCTTGTGCTTTGCCAGGCAAAGGGGGCCACAGCAGGCTAACACCATCAAAACATTATCTTGGAGGTTAATTTTTTATGGCAAACTTCAGTCATGTTCAAAAACTAGTGACTAGTAATAAAAACACCTACAGACTCATCACTCAGCTTTAACAATCATCAATTCATAGCCAGCCTTTCTGCCACTCTTTCATCCACCTAGTCCACTCATGTCCCCCTACCCCCTTCATAGCCCCAGCTGCCTTGGATCATTGTAAAGCAAATCCCAGGCATTGTATCATTTCATCCATAAATATTTCAGTTAGTTCAGTCACTCAGTCGCATCCGACTCTTTGCGACCCCATGGACTGCGGCACGCCAGGCCTCCCTGTCCATCACCAACTCCCGGAGTTTACTCAAACTCATGTCCATTGAGTCAGTGATGCCATCCAACCATCTTATCCTCTGTCATCCCCATTTCTTCCCACCTTCAGTCTTTCCCATCAGGGTTATTTCCAGTGAGTCAGTTCTTCGAATCAGGTGGCCAAAGTATTGGGAATTTCAGCTTCAATATTTCAGTCTTTGAGTATGTACTCAAAAATAAGGGTTCTTTATCACAGTAACATTATCATAGCTAACAGAATAAAATGTATTTCTTTAATATCATCAAGTATTAAACCAGTGTTCAAATTGTTTTGATTGGAAAAAAATTTTTCTTTTTTCCAGTTGGAATCCAGCGACAGTCCATATGCTGCAGTTGGTTAATAACTCCCTTAAATTTCTTTTAATCTATATACAAAATGGGTTTTTGAATTTTTGGTAGAAAGCAGAAATATCTTGAGTCATTTACATGGATAGTAGTCTTACCCATAAGAATTGGAATGTTCCCAGGGGATTAATCTCTCTTCAAAGAAACTGAACCACCCTAGATGGAATGTAATATGTCATCTTCTATGTTTGATTCAGTTATCTTGAGGTCTTTTTTTTTTTTTTTGGATAGAAGGCAAAAATCTCTGCTTATGCTCAGCTATTGTAACTGAAAACCTTAGTTCTGGTGTAGTCAAATGAATGTTAGTGTAAATTGACTTTGTTTATTGAGTGTTTGTACATTTGTTTGGAGTAAGTGTATAGTGGTTTAACTAGCTAAACCACGTATCATCCCTCCTCTGAGGTGTAATGAATGAGATATATCCTGGTAACGTGTAGTGGGCATCCATGTGTGTTCTCTAAGCTAGTTGGTGCCTGAGACTAGTACGGGATGGTGGTCTCAAAGAAGAAAGAGCACAGGTAGATGTGTGAAAGGTAATGTTTTAAGCATTGAAATAACAGAGACTTCTTTTAAGCCTGGCATAGTTTCTAGTTACCTAACTTTGGTATTTATAAACTTATGTTTAAAGGGACAGCCCACATTATGTTCTTTAATGTTACTACTCATACTTTTAAAGTTTACTGAGGAGTATATCATTTCACTTAGGAAAATGACTACATTAATTCCTACTTTGAAGATGGAGATGATTTTGGTGCAGACAGTGACGACAACATGGATGAAGCAACCTACTAGCTATGGAATTTCTCAAAAAATATTTTTATGATACAGCTTCTGAACATTTGGACAGACTTATTTTCTATTTTATTTCTGATAAGCAATGAGTAAGTACTTTATTTTTGTTACTGTTTTGTTGGAAAGATACTTGTTATTAAAATATTCAGAACCACTTTGAGTTTACACACTAGTTACCTTACCAGTTAATCTCTGACACTGACATTCCTTCTCAACACCTCTGTCATCTCTCTAGTGTATTTAAGTGGATTTTTTTTTTTTAATGTTTTGGATTAGAATGTGCCTAAAGAGTTTCTGCATCTTTTTAAGAAGTTTTTGCATCTTTTAATCCATGTATTCATACTTAAACAAATTATTCTTATTTAACTGCTGATCTTTTCTGAAACTGCTACTAGTCATCATAATGGATTTCTATAATCTGAAAGTTGGTTTAATACTGCACATGGAGCACTTTAGAAACAAAGAAACTTGAAAATAATTTTATTTTTTACTTTTACATGGAATGTTCTGTGCTACTATGACTACAAAAACCTACCTGAGCTCTTACAAATGCATATTTTATGAGATTAAAAGTTTTGTGATTGGAAACACACGCACAGGGAGAAATGCCAATCTGAGCTAATTTCATAACTTATATCTCAAACCAATACAAAGACCTGGGATAAATAAATACATGAATTTGGGGCTAACTTTATACCATCCTATAGATCAGTTAATCATCCCACTGTAACAAGTTTGTTATCTTTGAGTCATTGGTTAATGAAAAATTAGACTGAGATATTTAATTTTGTACTTGATGAAAATGTGGAGTAAGTTCAAGTTGTATAAATCTCATTGCAGAATGCATATATGTGTAGTTTTTGAGATGTAGTGGCCTCTGTTACGTTTCATAGGACTCAAACTGTCCAATTGATTTAACAATGCAGGATAAAACTCAGGTCACTTTGAAATTGAGATTAATCTTTCTTGATGCATTTAAAAACTAGCTCCCCTTTTTGTTTGGGGTAGGAGAGAGGATATCTAAAAATATCAGCTTCCGATGACTTACATAATGCCAAAGATTTTCAAGGAAATTCATATTATGTATTTTTTAAATGATTTGTTAACGTTACTCACCAAAAGAAATAATTTCTTCCCTCTTGGGAAGATACCACCCATTGCCCTCTGACCTGAGAACCAGAGCTCTAGATTCTGTTTCTACCTGTACTATTAAACTCAGCCTTGAAATTGAGCTTGGTTAGGTTTTCTGTGCCTTAGTTTCTTCACTTGTAAACAGTTTTCTATAAAACCTGCTTAAATTCCAACCAAAGTTTACCATACGTGTTCATTCTCTCACCTTGTGGAAATTACCATTCTTAAATTTGATTCTCCCCTCTAAAACAATTGTAACTGGCAGTGATTGAAAAGAGTTTTGAGAGACACTTATTTTCCTCACAAAAATATATCGAAATTTGATTTTCCCATCTCATTTTATTGTGGGAAAAAATGTGTATTGTCTTGTGCCATTTTGTAATATGGCTTTCTCAGGAAAAAAAAAAGACCACTTTCAATTGTAATATTTCCTCTGATAATTCACTGTGGGTGTGAGGGCCATTATTCAGTATTTGTTGACCCTATGTGATTTCTTAAAGGAGTTTATGAAAAATTTTAGATTATAAATGGAAAACGTGAATGAAACACTCTAAAGTAGCAGTCTACTTCAGAGTAGAATTCTCACCTTTCCGTTGTAATGGGCAATAGTCATTTAGGATTGGTAATTTACATGTTTCTTATTCTCTCAACTCCTTAGTACTACAGCTAAATACTATTTAATTTATACAAATCTTACCTTATTGTTCTGTTTACTTCCTTTTTTATGAATCTGAAAATAACATGTGAATCAGGCAAGTACACCAAAGATACAGGAATCTTTTTTCCGGGCTTTCAGTTTGTTGCCACCATTTTAGTCCTACAGATGATAAAGCATCCACCATGGGCAAGGATTGGCTGGGGAGGCCCAGCCATGTCTATTAAGTGCATTGCCTTCCTCCTTGGGAAGATCTTTTCATAAGTTTAAAGTAGACTAATTGTGAGAACAGGCAGGAAGTATTTGCGGCTTGCTTTTAACAGTGGCAGTCTTATTATTTGGCTTAAAATCTAAGAAGACTGAAATTATTCTATAAGAAGGTAAACTTTAGTGCAGATTCGCCTCATACTTGATGGTGAAGTGTCTTTAAATAAAATTTCTATATATAAGATACAAAACTGTTTTGTTGCTCTAATGCTTATTTTTCTGTATTTGTTTACACATTAAATTCCTGCAAAAAAAAATTGTCCTTTTGTTTTATATTGTTTTATTTTGATCCTACTGAAATACATGTGTTTGAGAAAACTAATTTGTTAATACTTATTTTACCTAGTACAATAACTGTATATTTATTGAGCAGGATGCCAGTATCAGATGTTCTTGAACAAACCACCATCAACAATAAAACTCTTGGTGATTAAAATTAGCTGTAAGAACAAACTAAGAGATTTGAATATTGACAGAATGCTGACACTCATTGGACCTTGTTAAACTTTCCTTCCCCACTTTCAGATGTACAGTATCATGGCTTTTCTTTAGTATGCTTAAAGACTCTGAAGTTAGTAACTTTTTATAAGAAAAATTATAAATACAATTTTAAGATGCTTTTATAAATGAAGAAACCAAGGTTTACACCACAGATTCTCCATTAAATAACTCGAAATAACTGATTTTTACTAGTATTTTTAAAAATTAGCGTTTTGAGATGAAAAGTTTGTTTCATAATAAAATTTAGATGTATATAAAGCATATTTATTACATGACCAATCTGTAATCTCCATGCCTCGTAAGGCCTTTTTCACTGCAAATAATGTTCATCTGAAATTCGTTTTCATTTCCTTTCACTTATGTTCTATAAGTCATCCAGTGTATTTTGTTTCAGTATGAGGGAGAATCTGAATTGGTAAATCTTTGGCAATTCAGTCTATCTTACATAGTATCTCTTTTATCAAATAGAGGAGAAAAGATTTGCTTTATTCAATTCAATTAACCAGCTTCCATTTTTTGCTTGAATAATAAAATAGAAACTTTATTACATTTTGTATATCTTTTAAAATATGAAAAATAAGGGGCAGAAAGTTTTAAAACCCAGTTTTACAGATGTACATGCTAACAATATTCTACAATTTCATGCTGCATTTGTATAAAATACATTATACAAAAGTTTTATATAATTTGCATACATAAAATAATTAAAGCATTCAGATTTCTGTGATCTAACAGTGCAATATGCACATACTTGGAAGAAAAATACTGATTTCCTGAGCAACGTAATTCAAAGTAAGAATGATTCCCATCATGTACCGTCTAAATACAGACTTCCCAGAACTCCACCTTTACTCTAACACTTTGACTGGATCCTGTTTCATGGTATTTCTAAAACCTAATTAATTGTATTCTTCATATTCCAAGTAGGTAATTTTAGTAAAACTAATGACTAAATAACGGTTCATTTAAAGAACTCTTCAGGCCATTGAACAAGTAGGGTTCAGAAAAAGACAAGCTTTAAAAAACAAGTTTTCAAAGTTAACATTACTGTCTTCTAATTCCTAATGACTCTATAACTGATCTTAATATATCTTTTAAGGACACAAAGCCTATAATTTTCTAGGAATAGGATAGCAAAAATTATTTAAATATCATCCATTGTTTGAAACAAGTTTAACCATTTGTACCCAAACTTTAAGAAATAACTGCCCTTTTTAAAAATAAGGTTTTTCTTAAATACCTGCAACTCCAACATTTTAAGTGAACCAAATGCAGTGATTGATTCACAGTTGTTACTTTTACATCTGTATGTATATACGTGTGTGTGTGTATCTTCTAATGTAAAGTCTCAAAGTAAATTCAAATAAGGGTTTCAACACAAAAGCCACACTATCAAATGATAACTTTTCTTGTTTTATTAAGTTTTACAAAGTAATCTGCATTTACTACAAATTTTGTAGTACTACTTAGTACTTTTTAAAAGTTAAAATTATTGTATCTATTAAATGCTTAGGAAATTGTTTTAACAAATGACAAGGATTAAAATCTAGAATTCTATATATATAACATATAGAATTCTCTATATATATTACATATATATAGAATTATATGTAATTCAAACTATATTCAATCAAGTAAAAAATATATAATTCAAACGTAAGGACAAAGGAAACTGCCTGACTGTGCCATAAGGATATGTTATACTTCCTTCAAGGAATAGGACACTCTGCAAGACAGAAAATGTTTTTAACCAACACAGTACACCTACTTTTTAAAATGTTAATGATTTTGGAAATCAGACTTCTCTTCGTCAATTTCCAAGTATCACAAGCAAAAAGGAATCCTTGACTCTCTGAAATTTCATCAATTTGATGTAAACAAAAGTTCTTCAAAGGCCATCTAGCCCATTCTATCCTAAAATAATCTTTATTTTCTTCCCTAAAACTTGATTTTCAGCAGGCTTAATAAATACAATGTAAACTGGCCAAGTTAACACTGAGCATAAATTAGAAAGATGCCCAAGGCATATTAAAACAATTTTTTAAATCTCAAACTAATAGAATCGCTCAAAAAATCAATTTGCTGCAGACTTCCATATTAACACTTTCTGGTAATTGTCTAAGGCCCTCTGATGTATGGAAGGGTTTTAATGTTTGACTTCTTTGTCCTGTCTTTCTCTGACACATTGCTCCTGAAAGTACATTAAGCCTCATATATATATATATTTGTTCACCTCACTTTGAATCCAGATTGAAATCTGAAATATAGAACTGGCTGAAAAGCTTAAACATTAGAAGTTAGGAAATAATGCCCAGAAAATGAGGTGTTATTATGTATCTTAAGGTGCATACTTTATTATACACAAAACAGGCAAGCCAGACTCCACCAAATCTTGCTTCTAATGAATTATTTTGATAACATTTTAAAAACACATACTTTTAAAAATTAAATGATGAAATCCATATGCAAATGCTTATTTAAGAGTCTGTCTGATCCACAGATTTTAAAATGTGGCCCTATAAACCCCTTCCTTCTGACCAAGCCATACACCTCTGGCCTCTGCTCCCCGATCTAAGTTGAACATTTCCTCTATGAAAAACTCTAGAGGCTAAGGGACCAATAAAGCAATATGTTTGTTACTGCTAATGCTAACAGTCTCTCTACTCCTGCTTTTCTGCAACAGACCTCAGAGACAGACAATGAAAATGTTTTCGTCTCATCAACTTGTGCTTGATAGTGACAGTGGAGGCTAATTTTATACAGCCTATGTTATGAATTCTATTGGACTATCTGAAACAATGTTTAATTCTAAAAATTATATATTATAAGGCATTAAATGTAATTAAGGCATGTTACTACATGTAATACAGCAACAACTTATCACAGTATGTAAGGAAATATTTCCTAAATAATGGTAATCTGTACATGTGTAACACTTTCATTATAGAACAACAGAAGTGCTTTCAAATATCAGAGGCAAATATAATTACTTAAAAAACAGAAGCAGTGGCAGCATTCTTTAAGAGATAAACTTTACGTCCTGACATAATCCAGTGTTCTAGTGACCAAACGGTAACTTCCCAACAGTAACACATTATTTGGGGGGTTTAATAATATATCTCACCCTCTATTACAGACATTATAGATAACTTTCCCATTTCTGTTCTATTTATGCTTTCATAGTGTATGAACTAAATGTGTTTTTTTTTAATTTCAAAATAGAATTTAAGTGCTATCAAATAATTTTAGAATCAGACTTTCTTGCAACTGAACATCTTGATGGTTCACAGTATTAAAATTTTCCTCAGCTGCAGACATCTGATGCTATCATTATTTGCTTAAATTTATTACTAATAACCTCAAAACAAAAATACTTAAAAAGTAAAATTTAAACATAACCAGTCTTGACTAAGAAAAATGATGCATTTTTCAAGAACTTCCTAGACACATAATCAAATTCATTTCTGCTTTAAGCATTGATACAACAGTTACACAGATTCACTGCTTTTAATATCAACAACTAGCAACTGTAGGGATTCTATACTCAACCCATTTGTAAGTGGCTCCAAATAAAAACAAAAGGTGAAAAACAAAGCATCTTCAGTCTCTCCAAATTCTGCCTTTGAAGTGGTTACTGACGAACTGATTCACCACATTCCAAATGCACATGTGATTGGAACACTGTAACTGTGAACCAACTGCTATGTTTTGTGTTGAGCAGCAGGTAACTGAGAATCTTGACTATATAGTTTATGATCATCTTGTGCACCAAAGGGTATTCCTTTAGTTGGAGCAATTCCATTTTCCATTTCTCTCTGCTGTGACGGGGGTGTGACTCCTGAATGCAAATGTGAAGAATCCACTGTTGAATGGTGACTGACATCCACCTTAGCTAAAATTTCATAATACAGCAAATAAAACACTGGTGTTATTATGCCTACTATCAACATTATCACTACAGCTGTCCACCACCCTATTCCCCAGTCTGCTCCATAGTAAGGATCCTTCCGTTGAATGTTTTTGTTATCAGGTTCAAAACGGACCTGTTGTGCTGTCAAGGCAGACACCACCTCATTAAGGTTCTCTCTTTTGGTGTCTGTACATTTTACTATTTGTTCGATGTCTCGGTCTACTTCTTTTAGAAAGCTACCAGCTGACTCAGTGGAAGAAAAAGAGTCATTAGCTGACAAAACTTCCTGTTGTTCTGGAAGGTATTGAACAGGAGAAGGACGTGAAGCCTGTCTTCCTTTTGGAGGATAAAGTGTTTCAGTCAATGAACTAAACTTTTTTACTGGAATTTTGATAGACCTAAGGGCAAAAAAGTCTTGATCACTGATGAGATTGTTAACCCTCTTGATATCTGCTACCTGTAAAGAAAAAAAAAAGCAACATTCAACTAAATTCTGAATCAAAATAAAAGTAATAACAATTCATTCACCCATTACTTTTAGAGGGGAAAAAATGAGCTTAATATTAGAAGTATTGAGTTATCACATCCAGAGATTTTATTTGTGGATAACAGTTCTACACCACTCTTGATCTACCAGTCTTAAGAAATCACCAATTATATTCTACTATCACCCCATATATTGTTAACACTAATAGGATCTTCTGCTATTTCTCTTTGTACCTCATGTACAAATATCACACTTCTGATGCCTGTAAACAATTTGTGAAGGAGGGATTACAGACTTAAGTTCTTTCTTCTTGTGTGGCAGTTAGAGTATAGGCAAATGTCAATTTAACCCAATAAAAGTACCATGTTTTATCAAAACTAAGATGCCATCCACTCTTAGGATGTCCCATTATTTTATGTATCATAAAGGTAAAAAAAACCCCACCAAATATTGAAGATGCCACCGTTCTAATTTAAAGATGTTAAAATATTTTATTTTTAAAAATACACATTGGAATTAATAAAACGATAATTTATCTCCTTCACTTGTTTTCTGAAGCCATTTCCCCCCAAACTTCTTGCTGTAAATGCATTATTCAGCTCCTCCCAAGATCAGTCATTTTTAAAGGCTTTCCTTGTATATTTTATATAGTCCTCAACTTGTCTATATATCCTATCCACCTGCCAACAATGGCAAAAGTAAGGAAGTATTTCTCAGACTACCAATTACTATGCCAGGTTCTCCAACTACCTTTAAATTATTAGTCCATCAAAGCTGTAAAGTAAGCCCTGATCATTTATCACCTGATTGATGTCGGAGAGGTTAAAGTGAACCTAGGATAAAACAGGTTTCTGACATGGCCAACAATGGGTAATCACGTCCCTCATTAAGATATGGACTACTGTAGAGGGGTAAGAGAGAATGAACACAGATTTCACACATGTTGACTTTAATGTGCCTGAAATATGAAAGTGGAGGACGTCCAAAAGGCAGTTAAGAGATGAATGTGTGAAATTCAGAAGAATGAACCCAGCTAAAGAGAGAGATTTGTGGATTACCAGCAGAAATGGTCACTGACGTCACAAGAGTAGACTCGCTAGAAAAAGGTACCAGGAAAGATCCCTGAGGAATGCCAACATGTGAGGTGCGTGCTGAGTAAGAGAAAGCCACAAAGGAGACAGAAACAGGAGCCAGGAAAGCACTATGTGACAGTGGCTGCAAGTGGTTACCTGGGTTTGAAGCATGACCATGACGCTTTCTAGCTGTGTGATTTGGGGCAGGTTGTTTAACCTCTCTGCAAATCAGTTTCATGTATGTAAAATGACCGCAATGCTACTACCAACCACATACGGTTACTGTGAAGATTATTAAAATGTCCAAAGAACACCTACAGCAGTGAAACACATATATTATGCAAGTGTTAGCTGATATTAGGAGAAGACAATGGCACCCCACTCCAGTTCTGTGCCTGGAAAATCCCATGGACGGAGGAGCCTGGTAGGCTGCAGTCCATGGGGTCTCTAGGAGTCGGACACGACTGAGCGACTTCACTTTCGCTTTTCCCTTTCATGCATTAGAGAAGGTAATGGCAACCCACTCCAGTGTTCTTGCCTGGAGAGTCCCAGAGACGGGGGAACCTGGTGGGCTGCCGTCTATGGGGTCGCACAGAGTCAGACACGACTGAAGCAACTTAGCAGCAGCAGCAGCTATTAAACTTTAATAGTAAGAAAATCAGAAACCTGCAGAATTCAGGTTGTCAAACGGGGTTTTTAAGCAGCAGCAGTGACCTGGATTAATTGCATATTACTGGTCCAGTGTAATGCAGAATGAGAAAAAGTGAATTCCTTTGAAGTGTCTGTGTGGAAGGAAAAGAGAGGAGATGACAGTGGAATGTTAAAGGGTGCTTCGTCATTTTACTACCTTAGGAATCTTTTTTAACACAAATGAGGATTCACTGACAACCCGAAAGCCTGACCCTATTCTCTAAATGCTCCTTTGTTTGGTATTGTATATTCCAACTAATAACTACTCACCAATCTTTCTGAACCATGCTTCCAAGATTTAGCCTCTACCTCTCTAAATATCCCTATAATGTTTTCTCTGTTATGCTAACTTCCTTGGTTACATTTAGGATTCCAACCCTGAACTTTTTGTTCCTCTTATCACTGTTTTATAACAGGCATATTTTAATAATTCCTAAGGTTAAGTATTTATAAGCAGAATGTGGCACGAATTTCCATAATTTTTAAATGATAAATCCTTTTTATAAGATTAACCTTTTTTCCTACTATTGAGCTCTGTCTGCCTCCCTAACTCCGCTTTATCGGTTTTCCCATTACTATGGCCAGTGCCATCTTCTCTGTTAAGCTAAATGCCTTTCATCACTCTGCATTTAATTAAGGAAACAGCAGACACATCCTGTGATTGCCCCCCCCAATACATTTTCTATTTTAGCCCACACACTTACATTCATTGGATATTCCAATAACCTTTTTCTTAGATTCCCTCTAATTCACCAGCAGGTTCTCCCTGCCCACCCCCCATCCCCATTTTGCAGCACTTTTTAAAACTTTAAAATGATGTTCTCTTACTATATATCAAACTTTTCCTCAGTTATCTTAAAGCACTTTATCCTAGTCTGTGTCACTCATTTCTGAAACACCTAATAAACTTCCTCTGTTGTCTACTTTATTTCCTCCTTGATATCTTTTCTACTTCACTGTCATATGTCTGAAATACTATGTCCTTTTCAAAACCTCACTGATTAAAAATATGACCTCTATTTTTGAATCATTTAGATGGCATTTCAAATTTCTCTTTTTCTAAGAAAACTTTCTAGGCTCTAGAAAACTACTGTCTTTCTCTAATAAAGCTACTAGACCAAACTCTTCTCTTGGATCTCCATCTTGATATTTTTAGCCTTGCCCCAGTCTTAAAAGTCTTATTTTCCATTAACAACCTTCTAAGGTTTATTTCTCCATGGTCTTTTTCGCTACAGAATACACAGTAACAATTTACCTGCATTAAAGAATAAAATCATTTTCTAACAATAAATAATGTTCCCATACATGAACAAATCACAAAAAACCCCCAAACCCAGCTTTTCTTACTCCATCAAGAAATGCATTTCAATAAAATATTTAATTAATTAAAATGTATAATATTTGTTTTGATCAATAATAAATAACTGCAGTACTTATTCATAAAAATAACACATAGAACCTCATGGTCATAGGAAACTTTATAAAATTAAATTTAAATATATATATATATATTTATCAATATATGTGTGTTTCTACAGCAGGGAACTGTGACAGGTAACCAATAAAAGGTTTTCAAGCATAAATATATTTTACACTATGAAAGATTTTGAGGGGGAGAATGAAAATATTAATCAAGGAGAAAAAGGAGTATATAAAATTTCATGCTACTGAAAAGAGAGCTCATATATTTTAAATGAATGATTTTAGGTAGCAAATCCTGGTGATATTTAGAATTTCATGCATACATTTAAAGAATATTCTAATAGTCTTATTTTTAAATATCAATATTGACAACATTCTGGAAATTAAATTCTTTGTAACAATTTTAAGTCAAGCTGTATTTAAGATGTTCACTTTAAAATGTACAAGGTGTTACCTAGTACATACATTTCAAAGTTCTTTTGGGAGCATAAGAATAAAAACTGATTACAAAAGATTTGAATGTGTTTACATGAAAACAGATTCCATGCTATGGATGCAAGATGAACATGACACAGATATAAAATGAATTTAAACAGTTTAATACCTAGTAAAATAAAAAATATACCTTTCCTCTATAAATCCCTCTTATAAGAATCTATTTCACAGAAACAAAGTTATCAGTAGTGACAGCATTTGCCCAATGCAAAACATGGAGGAAATCCTGACTACCCATGAATAAGAGAACAATTTAATAATTGTGGTATATCCATACTATGGAACATCGTAAGCTATATAACATAGTGAGTTAGACCTATGTGGCTATGAGGGATGTCCATGATATACTAAGAAATGAAAAAGTCAGAGGCAACTTTCACAGTAACACGGATAATATAAACCAATTTTAAAAACATCACCACATATATATACATCTTCCCCCAGAAAAGGTATGGAAAGAAATACACCAGTGTGTGTTTTAGGAAATTGGGACAGGAAAAATATTTTCCTCATATATTTCTACATTCTCTTACAACCTGAATAAGGAGAAAAATAAATGCATTTCAGTGTTTTCAATCTGAAAACAGAATCATGATTTAGAAATAAACATTCAAGTGTTCACTTAAAATTTAAGAAGTTAACATCCACCAACAGGATAAGAGATTTCTGTGGAAAGAGGAAAAAAAGTGGGGGGTGAAGGAACAAAGATGAAAGGGCAGAGACTTTACTTCAACTTGTAGTATGAACAAATAATGTAATTGGGGCTGCATTATGCAAAATCAGGTTAAAACTTACCGTACAACAGTATTGAAGGGCTATTGCATTTAAAGTGTCTCCTTCCTGTATATCTTTTGTTAACACTATAATGTCATCAAGTCTATCTTTTGATGTACTTCTTCGGATTTTTTCTTTTCCTCGGGATCGAAGCTCATACACTTCAGCATCTTCCTCCAGCATATCACTGTCTGTACAATTTCCAAATGTATGTACTTGAGCACTTGAATGAATTCCTGGAAGAGGAAAACTACGATTCTGATGCCTCCCTGCCATGTCCAAATCTGGTGGGGAAAGAAGGCAGAGAAAACTTTGGAATGTAGCTGATCCATCTGACTGATTTACATGAATCTTATATTCAAAACACTCTACATCTTGTTTTTTAAAGAATGGTTTGAGTTATTTAAAAACTTAGGTTCAAGTTTTGTAGCTGTTGAAGAAAAATGAGCATATCTGGCAATGGAGACAATGGGATGGGAGAAAGAGGTAATCCATTCTTTTAGACCATATGTCACACAAGAGTGATGCTTACATTTTAATAAGGGCAAATTGCTATATGATTTCAGGTCAAAAAATTAAGTTTCCCCATTCTGAGTATGTGAAGAAGATATAAGAAATATAAAAAATAATTTTAAGATCACACATCTTAAAAACGTGTGATCATATATAGAATTTATAGATCTGACGGAATCAAAAATATATATATAGTTTTTACATATATACACACAAGACTTTTATAAACCCCAAACTTTCTGAGTTGTCCCGAGTTTTAAGTTTCATGAGATTGAACTATCTTTTGGACTCTCTTCCCACTTCCCTGGATCAGGCTGATTTCACTATTTATGTTCAGTACAATATGTGCCATCTATACAGGTCATGATTTTGCTCTCAACCAGTAATTTTTCTTCCCACCAGAGACTTTTCTTCCCTGGCAGCTTTTCATCAAACTTTTAGCTTACCAAAGCCCCCATGAAACTCAATTTATGTTCCACAGAGACTGTGAACAGATTTTAAGGCACTATATTCATTTCTACTTCAGAAAAGACATCTTAAGACTGAGATGAGAGCTGACTTAAGTGTACTCACTCACAACTCACCTTCATTAAGCTGACCTATTCTCATTTAAAAAAAGTGGGATAAGTTCTCCAACGGGAGGGGCATTTGGTGCTACGTGTTCCAAATGGATGACTTTGACACAGGGGTGCCACGATGTATGGCAATGCTATCTGCGTCATCAACCACTCCTGTGAACCCAACTGCTTTCTTGAGTCATCCATGTGGAGGGCTAGGGGCACATCGTTATTTTACCTACCCTGCATTGCTTCCTGCATGGTGAGGAGCTCACGTATGACTAGGTTCACCACTGACAATGCCAGCAACAAGATACCCTGTAACTATGGTACCTAGTGCTACTGAAGCGGTGGCCACCTGCCACAACCCCTGTGGCCAACTTGGCCCGAGCCTGGGGACTTGCTCATCCCGCCCAGAGCATCTCACCCCACCATCATGTTCAGGGTGTATGTGGGCATGCAGGTAACAAGGGTGCTGCCTCCCCACCTCTAGGCCACCCAGCAATTACCCGCTTCCTGCCCTGGGGTCCCAGAATATAGACACTGCACAAAGGTTTCTAAATCCCTTCTTACCTATGTTAGGAGAGTGGGATCCCAGGTAGCAACCAGACCCTCCCCCTCCAAAGTCTATCAGTGTTAAAAAAGAACATAAAAAAAAAATTCCACGCTCATGGTTTTAGTTTCATAGTAATTTTTCACATAAAGAAGGATAGGTTATTTTCAATAATTGTGAAAGAGAGTAGAGAAGTAGTAAAAGGAATTGGGAAGGTAAAATACTTAGGGCTTAACGAAGTGGCTCAGATACGAAGAAAAGAAATTAGTTAAAGGTCACACCAAGATTTCTGATTTGTGTCCCTAAGTAAACGCTGGTGCCATTCTCTAAAATTTGGAACATTGTAAGAGCATGTTGAGAGTGGGTGACTTTGATTATAAATTCCTTTAAGACAGCCAAAAAGAATGTCCAATAGTCAAGTGGACTATGTAGTCAAATTCAGAAAGGTCTGGGTGACATAATTTCATGACTCGTCTGCACACAGGTGGAAACTGAAGCTGTATGGATGAGATTACCTAGAGAGAGCACGCGCAGAATAAGAAAAGTGGGTCCAATGTGGACCCTTGGAGAACTGCTACATTTAGTATCTAGATGAAGGAAGATCAGCCTGCAAAGATGGAAAAGAAGTAATCAGAGGAAGAAGAAATCATGACCATGCTGAGCAATGAAAGCCAAGACTAAATGATTTCCCAAAGGCAGTTGTGGATACTATGGACAAGCACCAGGTGGAAAAGAAAATCAAAAAAGACCAACTCCAAAAGTTTGAATTTGTGATATACACAATATATCACCTACTATGTTGGGACATACTTAGAAAATTTTGGAAACTATTTCATATCATTGAATTCAACCCCAGAAAACCAGTTTCTGACCCTGTTCTATGGCAACACGGTAATGCTTTAAAAATTCAAAAGTTTCTACTCAATAAGTAACTAATGGCTATATTAAATTGATAATTTCACCTGTTCCCCCAAAAGCTATATTATTTACTATCATAAACTGGACCTCCTAACTCAGCAGCCACCAAACTAAAGAAAGCTACCCACGTTTTACATCTCAAAAACGGTTTTAAAATCACATCTATTCCTTCAAGGAATTCTAACAAGTGACAACTCTAACAAGCTTAAAGATGAAACTTGTTTTAATACCATAATAAATTAAGGATGCTTTATTTTTATTTTGTTCTCAAAGAAGTTGAAAGAGTATCTCACCTCCACCTAAAACAGATAATAGTTTTATTTCCACTTATTTAACAGTCTTTCAATACTGTCTTTAAGCTAGGAAATATCTGTGAATACTGTGGATTCCTAAGCAATCTTTTATACGTATGCACACTTTTCTGGGGATAATATTTATTGTTCTCATAGTCTCAAAAAGTTTTATATGTTATGAACCACTTAATATACAGCAATTTACACTTGCCTATACTAACTCAGTTATGCTGCCAACTTTAGACTTTTTCTCCTGATGATTTGTTCTTCGAACCCCAAAGTGGCTTAGTACCGCTGAAATTCACTGAGCAAGGCCCAAAAGCCATTTTAGATACTGATTTCAGTGTCTCTCCATAATATGCGCTACACAGGTGGCGCCAGTGGTAAAGAACCTGTCTGCCAAAGCCGAAGACCTAAGAGATGCAGATTCGATCCATTGGTCGGGAAGATCCCTTGGAGGAGGGCATGGCAACCCACTCTAGTATTCTTGCCTGGATAATCCCAGGCACAGAGGAGCCTGGTGGGCTACAGTCCACAGGGTCGCAGAGAGTCGGACTCGACTGAAGCCACTTAGCAGGAGCAACTCCATGATACACTGCGAAACAATATATCTGTCTCACGATCTCCACTCCCCGTGTACTGAAGTAACGCAGGCAGCAGAATACCACAAACTGGATAGTTTGTCTCTGAACAGTCAAGAGTTGGTTGTGTCCCTAACTGACATGAAAAGCTAGACTCTGGCCCTGGCATGTAATTATCTGAGCCAACTATATAAAAGATTACAAAGTACACAGTAGTGAAGTCATCTGGCTCAATTCGCTCCACCTGTTACAATTATCTTACGGCAGGACAGAAAGCACAGTTTTCTCCAGAAAACTGAAACAAGCCTGCATGCTACGTAGATTACAAGAACTGGCAAAAAAGTAACACAATGGACCCCGTGTTAAAGCACTCGTCAGCTCACTAGGCAACTGAAAATTATTTCTCCAATGCCTGCGTGCTCTATAAATGCTGTTGGGTGTTTTCGCTTTGACATTCCTTAAGCAAGCAGCAATAAAAGGGCCACAGATCACAAGCTACTTCAGCACTGGGACAGTATCAGAGAGACTGTTTTTTCAGGGTCAATCGAGTTTCTAAAAACTTAACTTCCCTTCTCCTCCTCTCCACACATCTAGTTTTTTTTCCTCTACACCTAGCGAAGATGAAACCTCAGATCCCTATGTTGTCATTGCACTTGGGACGATGTGGACCAGATGCTGTCAACGAATATTCAACACAAACACGAGGTTGTGGGAGAAAGGTGTCTAGTTGGGAAATCCGCTGCTCCGGGATTCGGGCAGGGAGGAGCCTTTCCTCTGAGCCTCAGTTTCCCCGAGAGTGTAACAGGGGCTTTGGTGGTTCTGGTCTCGAAGGTCTCCGCTGCTTCGAAGTCTCTTCCAAGCGGTGCCGGGGTCCGAGCCCCCGACAGCCGGCCCGCCACATCTGCGGCCGCTGGGTCCGCGCCGCCTCCAGCGAAGGTGCAGCCGGGGCCCCAACGCCGCCGCCGGACCCGGCCATCCCCTACCCCCGCACCCACCTCTGGCCGCCATCTTTACCTGTCCCGTTAGCAGGGGGGACTCAACGAGGAGACCGCCACCAGGTCCGCCGCCGCCGTCCCGGGCCAGTTCATGGCCGAGCCTCCGTCTCTGACTGCCCCTGTCTTCCACCGTCGTCGCCGCTGCCGCCGCCGCCGCCGCCGCCACCACCAACGTCTCCGCCTTTCGTGCCGTGCGCCGCCGCCACGTCCGCAAACCTGCCGTGCGTCATCGCGTCAAGTGGGCGGAGGTGGGATGGGACCGGGAGGAGGCGGAGGGCGGGGGCGCGAGGGCGAGCCCAAGAACCCAGGACTCCCTAACCACAAGCCGACGCGGACGCGCAGGCGCAGGGATTCCGCCGCAGCCCGGAAATCGGGTGCAGGTTCCAGCTCCGCCCCTGAATCCAGCCCCGCGCCTGACTCCTCCCCTTCTGCCCCGCCCCTTCACCCCAACCCCACCCCCCACCCCCCAGTACATAAAAGCTTCGGGGCCAAGTCCGTGGTCTAATCCAGCTATTTGGGCGGACTTCGTGTGGCCGTCTGTTTGTTTCGCACAGAGTAGGCAAAGACCGGCTGGAAAACACTGAGGGGGCGGGGGAGGTACTGAGGGTTTGTGAGGGTTTGTCCCTGTGCATTTCCTCTTTGCCTCTGAAGGTTTCTGTGGTGTGGGGAAGGACGCCCCAAAGCATAGTATTGACATCCATATTTTAAATTATTCCATGCTTCTTGCTCTTCGAACTAAATCCTCTCGACTCCTGCAGAAAAGACAAAATACTGGAGGAAAAAAAAACCCTTGGGCGGCGGCGGACAATTGTTTCAGCCTTTATATGCTTAGATGAGGAAAGTGAGCCACCTAGAGTTAGGCCCCA